TTTCCAGCCCCATTTTAAGAAAAATTCCCGTTTTTTTTCTTCTGCGGGAAGAGCAGGGATTTGGGATTTTTTGTTTCCCTGATTTACCACCTGCTCCCTCAGAGTGGCAAAATTCAGGAATATGCCAACATCCCAAATTCCCTATAAAACACCCAAGATGTGATCCCAGACAACACCAACCACAACACATCCCAAAAATTCAAAAAAAAAAAGGGGGGAAAAGGGATTTATCCCTTTATTTTCCAATGGGAATTCCCTTCCTTCCTCTCAAGCTGCACCCACGGCTGGGAATTCCCAGGAATCGGCAGAAAATTGGGAAAAATCTCTTTTAAACCACTTTAATCGACACCTCAAGAAGTTCCCTTGTTATAATTCACCTCAAAATCCAGGATTTTTTTTAATCCTTTTTGCTCCTAAATGGCCTAAAATTAATCCCAATCCAAGAATCCCTCAGGGAACAAAAAAAAAAAAAAAAAAAAATCCTTTCTTTGGAGAGGATAAAGTCCAATACTTACTTGTGGTGCCCGGTCCTCTTTGTCCTTTAAATTCCAATAAAAATTAGGATTTTTTTATCCTTTTTGCTCCTAAATGCCCTAAAAAAAAAAAATCCCAATCCAAGAATCCCTCAGGGAAAAAAAAAAAAAAAATTAAATTGTTCCTTAGGAGAGGATAAAGCCCAACACTTACTTGTGGCACTCTTTGTCCTTTAAATTCCAGGAAAATTAAAATATAAAGCCAGGAGAGGCCGAATGTTGATCCCAAAAAGAGAAAAAAGGAGGAAAAGGAGGTGGGGATGGAATTTGGGATTTTCTGCCTTCTTATCTGCAGGGTGGAAATCTTTGCCTGGCACAGTCGGAGCCTCACAAGGCAGGAATTTTTACTTTGAATAATTTTTAACTTCGGCTCCGGTAAGGAAAATGCTCCCAGGCTCTGCTTGGCTGGGTTTGTTATTTATTTCCTGGCACTGGGGATTTTATTTATTTATTTTTTATTTTATTCAGGGGGGAAATGGGGGAAATTCTTATTTTTTATCCCATAAATTCCCAGTTTCCAGGGGATGAGGGGAAAGGATTGGAAGAATTTTCCTGGAAAATTGAGGAGATAAAAGAGTGAAACTTCAGGAAGTTTCTGCTTGTTTTCTGCTTGGTTTTAAAATAAAAATTATTTTCCTGGCTTGTGGTTGAAGCTGTGCAATCCCCTCAGAAGGGCTGAAATAATTCACAATTCTGACCAGTGAAATTGGGAAAAACACAATTTATTGTTATTTTTACCTCTTTGAGGGTTGAAATTCAGGCACATTCTCCTCACAAATAGGGAAAATTCACCTTAAAGTATAAATGAAATATTTAAAAATCCAGGCTAAGCTAAAGGCCCAAATCCCCTCAGAAGGGCTGAAATAATTCACAATTCTGAGCACTGAAATTGGTAAAAACAACAATTTATTGTTATTTTTATGCTTTTTACCTCTTTGAGGGCTGAAATTAGGGCACTTTCCCCTCACAAATTGGGAAAATTCACCTTAAAATAAAAAGGAAATATTAAAAATCCAGGCCAAGGAAAAGGCCCAAATCCCCTCAGAGGTGCTGAAATAAAAATAATTAACAATTCTGATCACTGAAATTGGTAAAAACACAATTTATTGTGATTTTTATGCTTTTTACCTCTTAGAAGGTTGAAATTCAGGCATATTCCCCTCACAATCTGGGAGAATTCACCTTAAATCAAAAGGAAATTTCAAAGAAATCCATGGAATTAAAGGAAATCAATTAAATCAAAAGGAAATCCATGAAATCAAAAGGAAATTCCAAAGAAATCCATGAAATAAAAATGACATTCCAAAGAAATCCAAGAGAAATCCATGGAATTAAAATGAAATCCATTAAATTCTAAAGAAATCCAAGAGAAATCCATGAAATTCCAAGGAAATCCAAAAGAAATCCATAAAATTAAAAGGAAATCCATGAAATTAAAAAGAAATCCAAAAGAAATCCATGGAATTAAAGGAAATCCATGGAATAAAAAAGAAATTCCAAGTAAATCCATGAAACAAAATGGAAATTCCAAAGAAATCCATGGACTGATGAAAAGGAAAAACTTGGATTTCTATGGGATATTTTCCTTCTGGGATGAGGAACCCTGAGCAAAAACCCCCCAAAAAATCCAAATATTCCACCCAAAGTTTGAAGAATCTCTGCCCCATCCCTGTTTTTTAGCCTCAAGCTCCCTCCTGGATGAGAAATTGGTTTATTTTTGATTTATTTTTGATTTATTTTGTTTATTCCCACTCCAAATCCTAGTAGAAAAGTTCCTTTTTTTTTTTTTTTTTTTTTTTTTTTTCTGGCGGTGCCAGCTGAGCCCCACCACAAACATCCTGGTGTTTTTCTGGTGTTTGTCCTTGTTAAAATCAAATTTCTCTTTTTTTTTTTTTTCCTCTCAGCACCTGCCCTTTTCCACCCTGGGAGCTGCCGAGCACCTGCGCAATTAAAGCTTTGTTCAATCCGATTTTTTTAATTGCCTCTGGGTCCTTGGAGCAGGAAAAGCAGCTGGAAAAAAGCCTTGGTTGGGGGGAGGAAGCAGCGAAAATTCTGTGTTTTGAACTCAGTTTTACTGGTTTGTTTTTATTATTTTATAATTTTATATATTGTTATTTTATATCCTCACCATGGTGAACTTGGGAATCAAGTTCCCAATACCAATACCAAGTTCCAATACCAAGCTGGGAGTGGCCATCCTCAATAATGAACGGAAAATAGAGAATAAATAAGGATATTGCAGAGAAAAAGGGAAAAATAATGAAAATTTTAAAAAATCAGGATATTCCAGAGAAAAGGGGAATAATAATAATAAATAATAATCATCATCATCATCATCAGGATATTGCAGAGAAAAAGGGAAGAAGAATAATAAATAAGAAATAATGATAAAAATAATAAATAATAATAAATATTAAACTATAATAATAATAATAATAAGGCTATTCCAAAAAAAAAGGAAATATCCCCTCAAAACACAAATTATCACTCTGAACACTTAGTTTTGTAATAAATTAAAGCCATTTTTGTGATAAATTAAAGTAATTTTTGTAGTAAAGATATTTTTGTAAAAAATTAAAAAGAAAATTTTGTCATAAATGAAGGATATTTTTGTCATAAATTAAAGATACTTTTGCAATAAACTAAAGCTATAAAATGGGGATCTGTAAAATGGGGATCCATAAAGTCAGGATCCGTAAAATTGGGATCTGCAAAATGGGGATCAGCAAAGTGGGGATCCATAAAATGGGGATCCAAAAAATCGGGATGCATAAAATGGGGATCCATAAAATGGAGATTGGTAAAATGGGGATCCGTAAAATCGGGATTGTAAAATTGGGATCAGTAAAGTTGGGATCTGTAAAGTTGGGATCTGTAAAATCAGGATCCGTAAAATCGGGATCTGTAAAATCCGGAATTTTCTGGGATCCCGGCAGCGCCGCGCGGCCGTTGCCATTTATCAGTGCAGATCAGGGAGCGGAGCTGGGCTGGGCTCACCAAAGCCCGGCCTAGGGCAGGGCACCAACGCCTTTTCCAGGGATTGGCAGCTCTGGAGAATTCCCAGGAAAAGCGCGGGAAAAGCTCCATGCCCTGGGCCAAAATCTGGGATTGCTCATCCAGGGCAAAAATCCTGGGATTTCTGATCCAGGGGCAAAATCCTGGGATTGCTGATCCGGAGAATTCCCGGGAAAAGCACCAGAAAAGCTCCGTTCCCTGAACCAAAATCTGGGATTTCTGATCCAAAGGCCAAATCCCAGGATTGCTTTTCCCAGGATCAGCAGCTCCAGAGTGTTCCCAGGAAGAGCGCAGTAAAAGCTTCGTTCCCTGGGCCAAACTCCGGGATTGCTGATCCAGAGCAAAAATCCTGGATTTCTGATCCAGAGGCAAAATACTGGGATTTGCTGATCCAGAGCAAAAATCCTGGGATTTCTCATCCAGGGGCCAAATCCTGGGATTTCTGATCCCGGGGCAAAAAATCCTGGGATTTCTGATCCCGGGGCAAAATCCCGGGATTTCTGTTCCAGAGGCAAAATCCCAGGATTTCTGACCCACAGGCAATGAATGACCTGTTTTTTTCCAGGAATTCCGTGGGATGATTCACCTGTTCCCAGGAATTATTGGAATTCTGGCTCCCAGCTCCACTTCCCTGGAATCTCCTTGACTTTGCCTCCCCCCAGTGGCTCCAGGGATTTCCCACTTCCAAGGAATTCCAGGGATGAAATGAAAAAAATCCACGGAATGAACAAGAAATCTAGGAAATAAATTAAATTGGGTGGAATTAAAGGAAATATACAGAATTAAAAGGAAATCTGTGGAGTTGAAAAGGAATTAAAAGGAAATCCATGGAATTAACAGGAAAACCATGAAATAAAAAAGAAATGAAAAAGAAATCCATGGAATTCCAATGAAATCCAAGGAAATCCAAAAGAAATCCATATAATTAAAATGAAATCCTTGAAATTCAAAGAAATCCATGGAATTAAAAGGAAATCCAAAAGAAATCCATGAAATTCAAAGGCAATCTGAAAGAAATCCATAGAATTCAAAGGAAATCCAAAGGAAATCCATGGAATTCCAAGGAAATCCATGGAATTCAAAGAAATCCATGGAATTCAAAGGAAATTCAAAATAAATCCATGAAATTCAAAGGAAATCAGCCCAAAATCCTCATTGGGAATTGCAGTGGGAATTTCCCCAAGGCCCAGCCCAGATCCCAGATCCGATCCCAGGGGGAAAAAGGGAATTAAAGCCTGGCTTTACCTGCTCGCTGTAAACATCTTAATTAATCCCAGCTAATTGCCAGCTCCTAATTAAAGCTCTCCCAGTTCCAGAGCCTCTGGAATTCAGGGATTTTCCACCAGGAAATTTCCCTCAGGGGCAGCGCAGGTTTGGAACTGGAGCTTTCCCAACTTTTTTCCTGTTTTATTTTCTAAGCAAAGCCCAAAAAAAGCAGAAAAGCCAAAAAGGAAAAGTTTAGATCTCTTTATTTTGGCACTTTTTGCAAAGACACAAATCCAGGCAATGCTGGGGTTAAACCGAGGTTTAAAACTGAGTTTTACTAGGCTGAGCCCAAAGCTTTGGGGAGGGAACCGGACGGTGAAAAGGAAGGAGAAACCCTGAAAATTCCAAATTGAACCCATAAAAGCAAAGGTCAACTCCGAGCCCAAACTAAACCTACAAAACCCAATCCCAAACCCAAAACTAAACCCACAAAACCCAAACCTAAACCCAAAATTAAACACACAAAACCCAAGCACAAACCCAAAACTAAACCCAGTCCCAAACCCAACGCTAACCCCATAAAACCCAACCATAAACCCAAAACTAACCCTACAAAACCCAACACTAAACCCATAAAACCAAATCCAAACCCATGAAATTCAACCACAAAACCCCGAATTAAACCCAAACGTTAACCCCAAACCCAAATCTAAATCCACCAAACTCAAGCACAAACCCAAACCCACAAACCCAACTCTAACCCCAAAACTAAACCCAAAACACCCAACCCCAAAACTCAACACTAAAGCCATAAAACAAAAACCAAACCCACAAAATTCAACCACAAATCCCCAAATTAAACCCAAACTTTAACCCCAACCCCAAATCTAAACCCCCAAACCTCAACCCCATAAATCCCAAAATTAAACCCACAAAACTCAAACCCAAAACCAAACCCATAAAACCAAACCTTAGCCCCAAACCCATTTTAGATTTTTAATTCCACAAATCCCATTTTTCATGACCCAAATCCCATTTTTCGACAATTACAACAAATCCCAGACAAGAAGAGCCGGAAAGAGGAGCTGATCCTTCAATAATTTAAATTTTCAGCAATTCAGCAGGACAGGAATTCCCAGCTCCAGAGCTAAAATTCCTTGGAATTATTTGCATAGTTCCTCCTTTTTTTGTTTTTTTTTTCCCCTTTGGAATTCAGAAAATCCTTGGGAATTTGGAAAATCCTCAGGAATTCTGAATTCCAGGATAAAAATTTCCTCATTAGGAAGGAAAACCCAAAAAATCTCAGCAGCAGCAAATTGGAAATGATCAAAATTCCAAGCTGGAATCTCCGAAAAAATTGGAAATTTCATTTGGAATTCCTTGGCCAGGAGTAAAAAGTTTTTATTTATCATAATAAAGAGGAAAATTTTGGAATTTTTTGGCACGGGAACCTTGCCATGATTTGGGCTTTATCCCTGAAAATTCCACCAAAATCTCATCAGGTTTTGAGGAGATTGAAGCAAATCTGGCTGCCCCAAAATTCCCAGAAAAAATGGGATTATTCCATGGGATAAATGGATTTCTGCCCATCCCAATTCTCCTCTCGGAGGGTTTGGAGCAGATCCAGGTTTGTGCTCATTTTTCCATAAAAAATACTGGAAAAAGCTGGAATTCCAGGGGGAAAGAGGAATTCCAGGGATTTGGGATGGATTTGGGATCCAGGAGGAAAAGCTGGAATTCCAGTGAAATTACAGGGATTTGGGATGGATTTGGGATTTTCCAGAGGGTGACAGTGACTTTTCCATGGATTTGGGATCCAGAAGGAAAAGCTGGAATTCCAGGGAGTGACAGAGAAATTCCAGGGATTTGGGATGGATCCCAGAGCCAGCCCAGCCAGGAGGAAAAGCTGGAATTCCAGGGGGTGGCAGTGACTTTTCCATGGATTTGGGACCCTCCGGCTGCAGGAAAAGCAGCAGCAGGGAGACCCAGCCAGGAAAAAATTCCTTTTCCAGCTGTTTGAAATTCCTAAAATCCCTCCAGTAGAATCAAGCTCCAGGGGAGAAGTTGAGGCTGGTGCCTGGAATTTGGGAATGCCTCTGGAATTTGGGAATGCCTCTGGAGCTTGAATTCCAGGGATTTCCCAAAGCCAAAATCCCATTTTTCCACTGGCAGGAGTTGTCCCGATCCCTGTGGCTCATCCCAAAAATCTCAAAAGCAGGAATTCCCAATTCCACCAGGAATGGATTATCCCTTGGAGAACCCCGAATCCAAGGATTGAGCTGGAAAAATTCCCAAAAAATCCCCAAAAAAACCCCAAGCTTTGGGATCAGGCCTGGATTATCCCAAAACGCTCCCAGCGGGATCTGGGATTTGCTTCCAAAGGATTCTGCATCTTCATTGTTGAAATATTTAATTATTCATCGTTAATCAGCATGATTAGCATTATTAATTAGGATAATTCATTATCATTTTTAATTAGCATAATTAATTGCCGTCCCAGCTTAAAGCAGTGGGGCTTGAGAGGATCCCTTTGCCAGCCCGGAATGGATCCACATCCCAAATCCCAGGATTTTGGGGTCACATCCCAAGGAAAGTCCCCAAATCCCTCATGAATTCTCCCCAACACCAAAAATCCCCCAGATCCCTCAGGAATTCTCCCCCAACAGGGAAAATCCCCCAAATCCATGAGGAATCCTCGGGATTTCCAGGATCGGGATTTCCCGGGATTGGGATTTCCTGGGATCGGGATTTTCTGGGATTGGGATCTCCTGGGATCAGGATCTCCCGGGATCTCCTGGGGCTGGGATTTCCCAGGATCAGGATTTCCAGGATCGGGATCTCCGGGATCTCCAGCTGGGCTCAGACGTTGCTGACCCGGCTCTCGGCCGGGCCCAGCGAGCGCTCGCGGCGGACGTAGCGCGGCTTCCGCACTGCGGGAAAACATCCCAAAAAATTCCAAGGAATGGGATTGGAAAGGGAATTCCCGAAGGGAGGAAGAGGTGGGACGTGGGGACTGGGGAGCAGCGGGGGTTGGGGTTGGGTTTTGGGGATTTGGGGCTGGGTTTTGGGGGTTTGGGGTTGGGTTTTGGATTGGATTTTGTGGGTTTGGGTTTTAGCACGGCTTCTGCACTGCCGGGGGAAAACATCCCAAAAAACCCTGGGAATGGGACTGGGGAGGGAATTCCTGAAGAACAGGGAGGGGGGAGGTGGGGATTGGGGAGCAGCGGGGTTTGGGGTTGGGTTTTGTGGTTTTTAACCCCAAACCCAATATTAACCCCACAAAACCAAAATCCAACCACAAAACCAAGCCTAAATCCCCAAAACCCAACCCCAAACTAAACCCACTAAACCCCACCCCAAACCCACTAAACCCAAACTAAACCCACTAAACCCAAGCCCAGCCCCACAAACCCCACCCCAAAACCCAAACTAAACCCAACCCCAAAACCCAAACTAAACCCACAAATCCCAAGCCCAACCCCACTAAACCCAAGCCCCTGCCCCTTTTCCCGGGAATTTTTGGGAATTCCGGTGATTTTTGGGACATTCCAGGGGAAATTTCCTCACCTGAAGAAGCAGGAGGAGGGATCATGGATGCCTGGGGGGCAGGAGAAGAGGAAGGTAAAAAAACCTCCAATTTTTAACAGATTTTCCTTAAAAATCCAGGAATTAAAAAAAATTCCAGTGATATTCATGTGGAAAAAAGCCATTTTTGACAGTTTTTCCTTAAAAAAATCAGGAATTTTTTAGGATTCAGATAATTTTCACTGTGTACAGATTTCTTCCTTGGAAAAATAACTAATTAAATGAAATTCTTGTTAATTAAATGAAATTCTCGTTAATTTAATAGCAGAATTCACTCACTGTTTCACTAGGCTGCAGAACAGATGCTAAAAGAGAAGAAAAAATAATTAACATTATTTTTATAAATTTGAATTATTTCAATTATTATATTTTAATTTTAGTTTATTCTAATAATTTTAATTAATTTCTTCATGGAGGGATTTATTTTCTTGGTAAAAAAGGAATTTTGTCCCAAAATCCAACCAAAATATTCAAAAAGCCCATCTGGAGAATTTGATGGGTGTGGGACTCTCAAAACTGGAGAATTTTTTGCAAAATAATGGTAATTTTCTCCATAAAATGATAATTTATGAGCCCAAAATGGGAATTTTCTCCACAAAATGGGAATTTTCTCCTCAAAATAGAGATTTATGAGCTCAAAATGGGAACTTATGAGCTCAAAATGGGAATTTTCTCCACAGAATGGGAATTTATTGGCACAAAATGGAAATTTTTGAGCCCAAAATGGGGATTTATCAGCCCAAAATTTGGATTTATCGGCCCAAAATGTCGATTTTCCAGGAACAATCCCTATTTCAATCAATTAGCAGAGCAGAGTTAATTAATGAATGCGTAATTAAAGGATTTGTTACCTTTGTTCCTCCTGTAGAAAACCTTTGGGAGTTTGTTTGCTCTTTTGAGGTAGAAGAAAGAAGCCACAGAAAGGATCAGGAACAAACTGAGGAAAAACGTCCCCAAAATCAGCGAAGCCGCGACCTCAGGGCCCCCTGGAAATCCAAAATGGGCAAAAAAGAGAAAAATCTCTTTTCATCCAAGCGCTAAATTCATGTATTTCTATTTTTATATTGTTTATATCGATGCCAACAAATTGATAAAAAATATTACAATTAATTCAAATAAAAAATATTCCAAAATCTCCATTTTTTGCTGCATTTTTGAGGCCTTTTTTTAGTAATTGATAACAAAAAATTGATAAAAATTATTACAATTAATTCCATTTTTGAGGAGTTTTGCACTAATTGATACCATTGTATTGATACAAATGATTACAATTAATTCCATTCTGGAGGCGATTTTTGCACTAATTAATGCCAATAAATTTATTAGACTTAATTCCATTTTTGAGGCGATTTTTGCATTGATTGATGCCAATAAATTTACACAGATTATCACAATCAATTCCATTTTTGAGGCGATTTTCACACCAATTAATCCCGATAAATTGATACAAATTCCCCCAATTAATTACCACAAATAATTAGCAAAAAGCATTAAACCCTCACCACTGCCACAGTCACCGAGGGGCTGCCCCAGGCTCTGGTTCCGGCACCGGACGCAGCCGCCGCCGCTCCCGTCCTCGTTCCAGCGCCGGTAGCAGCCTGCAAAAACAGGGAAAAGGGAAACCCAGGAATTCCTGATTTCCACCCAATTCCCGGATTTTATAGGGAAAACCCACGGAATTCCTGATTTCCGGCTGATTCCCAGATTTTACACGGGAAAACCCACAGAATTCCCAATTTCTGCCCAATTCCCAGATTGCACAAGGGAAAACCAACAGAATTCCCGGATTTTACATGGGAAGACCCACAGAATTCCTGATTTCCACCGAATTCCCAGAGCTCAGAGAGGAAAACGTAAGGAATTCCCGATTTCCAGCCAATCCCAGATTTTATAGGGGAAAGAAAAGCAGGAATTCCCTTTTTGGGGTTACGGACAGCACCTGAGTGCTCTTTGCCCATGCTAAAGGGGTTTTATTCCAAATTTTATTCTAATTTTAATTCCAAATTTTTATTCCCAAATCTTATTCCCAAATCTTATTCCCAAAATTTTATCCCAAATTTTATTCTCGATGCTCATTCCCAGTGTTCATTCCCAATGTTCATCCCCAGATAATTCCCTGGAGTAAAGGCCCTCCCATCCCGGGATTTTCCCGAATTCCCACCTGGGCTGCAGTGCGGGCAGGAGCCGTTGGGGTCTGACCTCCCCTCACAGCACTCTGGGGCTCCCGGCACCTGCGGGGAGATTCCAAAATTCCCAAATTCTGACTGCGCCCGGAATGGGATAAATCCCAAAATCCAAAATTCAATCCTGAGCCCCGCGGGAACCGAGGGTTCCCAAATCCCCCGGGAATCCTGCTCCAATCCTGCTCCGGCAGGGAGCAAATTCCCTTCAGTTGTGGGGCTGGCTTAGTTCAGAAATCCAGCTCACTCCTAGGAATCCATTTTATCTTAGAAATCTATTTTACTATTATAAATCAATTTTATTTTTGGAAATCCAGTTGACTTTTAGAAATCCATTTTTATCTGAGAAATCCATTTTACTTTTACTTTTAGAAATCCATTTTACTTTTAGAAATACGTTTTATTTCTATAAATCTTTTACTTTTATAAATCCATTTTACTTCTATAAATCCATTTGACTTTTATTTTCTAAATAAAAATACAGAAAATGTTGGATAAAAAAATAAAACTAAAGTGTAAAAAAGTATAGTAATAATAAAAAAAAATTAAATAAAATTAAAAAAAGAAAAAAGAAAAAAAATAAAAGAAAATTTTAAAAATAAAGAAAAATTTTAAAAATAACATTAAAAATTCAAATTTAAAACATTTAAAAATAAAATAAAAATTAAAATAAAATAAATAATTTTTTTTTAAATAAAAATTAAAAATAAAAATAAAAAATGAAAATAAATTAAATTAAATTCCCGGAGCACCCACTGAGTTTTCTGGGGATTTTCCAGCCACTTCAGCCACAAGCCGGCTCAGGAGCAGCACAAAGGGCACCTCCATGCCCAGGGAAATCGGGGATCTGCAGAAAATTTGGGAATAAATTCCAATTATTTATTGGTGACACCAGAATTGGTTGCCCTTTGGTAAAGAGGTTCAGGGGGAAAAGGGGAAGAGGAAGAAAACACAGATGAGGATTATTGATTATAAAATAGAATAAAATTAAATTATTCAGATTTTTGTCAACACCTTATTCAAAGAGGAAGAAAACACAGATGAGGATTATTGATGATAAAATTGAAAACTGAGAGAAGAACGGAAGGGTTTTAAAAGATGATATTAAAAAACTGAGGAGAAAAGTTGAAATTCTAAAACAGAGAGAAAAATAAAAGGGTTTTAAAAGCTGAAATGATAAAACTGAGAGAAGAATTAAAGGGTTTTAAGAGTTGAAATTAAAAAACAGGAGAAAAGTTGAAATTATAAAACTGAGAGAAGAATGGAAGAGTTTTAAAAGCTGAAATGATAAAACTGAGAGAATGAAAGGGTTTTAAATATTGATAATTCAACATTTCCACATTCAACTCTGCCTGAATGAGAAGACAGAAAATCCCTGAGGATTTTCCTGCCAGCTCAGCCTTGGGAAGGCAGATTTGGGAATTCCAACCAGGATTTCACTTTTGGAGCAAATCCCAAATTTCTGCCAGCGCGGATCTGTGAGGGAATGAAAGGAAGGCAGATTTTGGAGCAAATCCCAAATTTCTGCCAGCTGGGATCCCCAGGGAATGAAATCCCTGAGGAATTCTGCCTCTTGCAGCTGCTCAAAAGTGACACCAACAGCTCCAGGCCTTCCTCCCCCTGATGCAGGCAAAATATTTTCATTATTTCACTGCTTCCTTTTTTCCTGCTGCATTCTCAGCATTTTTCTCACTGAAAATGTTGCTGGAAATTGGGAATTCCTTCAGCAGCTGGAAAAGGAGGAAAGTGGAGAGAAATTGTCCCTGGAATTCAGGTGGTGTCACAATTCCCTGGGTTTGAAACCGCATCACACCCAAAAGCTGCTTCATAAAATAAGGGAAAAAGCTGAGAGCAGAGAGGGTTGGGAAAGCAAAATTATAAAAATGAGGAGAAAAGTTGGAATGATAAACCTGAGAGAAGAATTAAAGGGTTTTAAAAGATGAAATTATGAAACTGAGAGAAGAATGGAAGGGTTTTAAAAGATGATATTAAAAAACTGGGAGAGGAATGGAAGGGTTTTAAAAGCTGAAATGCTAAAATTGAGAGAAGAATGAAAGGGGTTTAGACAATGAAATTATAAAACTGAGAGAAGAATCAAGGGTTGGAAAGGCTGAAATGATAAAATAGAGCAGAGTCAGAGGTTTTAAAAGCTGAAATGATAAAACTGAGGAGAAAAATTGAAATGATAAAACTGAGAGCAGAATGAAAGGGTTTTAAAAGCTGAAATGATAAAACTGAGAGAGGAATTAAAGGGTTTTAGACATTGAAATTATAAAACTGAGAGAAAAATAAAAAGGTTTTAAAAGCTGAAATGATAAAACAGAAGAATGAAAGGGCATTAGACATTGAAATGATACAACTGAGAGAAGAATGAATGGGTTTTAGCCATGGAAACGATAAAGCAGAACCGAATGAATGGGTTTTAAAAGCTGAAATGATAAAACAGAGAGAAGAATGTACAGGTTTTAGCCATGGCAATGATGAAGCAAAGCAGAATGAACAGTTTAGAAGCTGCAATGATAAAGCAGAACAGAATGAGCAGTTGAAGAGCTGCAGGTGTCACTCACCTGCGGGCTGCCAGGAGCCCTGTGCACCTTGCCCAGCTCAGCCAACACCTGCGGCTCGTGCTCTGCTGCTCATGTCACCAGGAACCTGCCGTGGCACACACAAAGTTTCACAAAACAAACTTTTATCAGCCCCAGCTGCAGCAGGACTCGTTTTTCCAGCCCCACCACCGGGGTTGTGCAATAGCCGTGAAAAGCTGGGTTTAATCACAGGCACCCTAAGCCAGGCTTTGCTGCAAGAGCTGCTCCACGCCTGCCCCGAGCAAACATTCATTTATATTTACAGCTGGGACACCTCCTGCTCCTACAGCCCCTGCTGCAGTAGGAAAATCAGGAGAGAGGTGAATGTTCCACAGGGAAAAGCGGTTTGGGAAGGGGAGATGAATATTCCACATGGAAAAGCGGTTTGGGAAGGGAAGATGAATATTCCACAGGGAATAGCGGTTTGGGAAGCAGAAATTAATATTTCATAGGGAAAAGCGGTTTGGGAATGGGAGATGAATATTCCAGAGGGGAAAAGCAATTTGGGAATGGGATAAAGGGACAGGCTGGGCCACCCAGCCCTGTCCAGCCTGGCTTTGGGCATCCCAGGGATGGGATATCCATGGGATAACCAGTGCCAGGATCCCAGCAGCCTCCCAGGGATTTCATCCCAAAATCCACCCTAAAGCCGTTCCTTGTGGCTTGGAATGAATCCTCCTCCTCCTCCTGTCACTCCATCCTTTGGAAATACTCCGGTTCCCGTAGCTCAGGAAGGTCATGGTGAGATCGCCCCGAAGGTTCCCCTCTCCAAGCTCAACAATCCCAATGTTTCTATGGCCAATTTGGGTTTTTTTTTCCACCCCTAAATCCCTATTATTTGGATGTGCATTTGGGGGGAAGCTTAGCCAGGAAAAACAAGCCAAAACAACATCACCAAATACCCGCGACCTCAATAACCTCAGCTTGGCGAAAAATTGTCTCAAACCGAGTTCAATTATTAGGAAATAAAAGTTTCACGGGGGGGATAAGAAGGAGAGGATTCCTTTCCAAACGCAGCAAGAACAAGCTGGCCCCAAAATCGCTGGGCAAGGAGAAGGAACAAGGGGCGACTTTTAATCCTAAAACCAAACCCTGCGACCCGCCGCGGTGCCGATTTCCCCGCAGAACTCGGTGACTCCATCAGGAACCGCTGCCCACCGCCAACAATGGAGCCCCACCCAGAGCTCGCCGCTCTCCCCGGGGCTCGCCGCCCCTTCCCCCTCCCGTTTCTTCTTCTTCTTCTTCCTCCTCCTCCTCCTCCTCCTCACCTGGGAGCTCACCTGAGCATCCCCCGGGCACCGCCGGGGTTCCCGTTCGTACCCCCCGCCCTCCACCGGCTCCCAGCCCGCTGCGCCCCGCGGCACCTTGGGAGTTGTAGTCCCTCGGCCGCCGCCCGCCTCGCCGCTTCGCCTAGCGGCCGCTCCTCCACAAACTACAAATCCCAACAGCACCCGCGGGGCGCCCCACCTGTTCCCCCCACTCCCCGCAGGTAACTGCGCTCTCTCAGCCTGTTACGCGCCGCCCCGCCGCGCCTGCTGGGAAAGCGAGTCCCGCGCTGCCGGCGGGGCGCGGGGGCGTGGGGTTCTGCGCACTACAACTCCCGGCGCATCCCACGCGCGCGCCGCCGCCATTTTAGGCGTTGCCTGGCAACGCTGACGCGGCGGGGCCGAGGCCTGGGCGCCCCAAAAATCCCGGGAATTGGGGGGAAAGCGGGAAAAAAAACGGGATAAAAACAGGGAAAAGCGGGAAAAAATCCGGGAAAAGCAGCTGTGCCAGATGTGGCCGCCCATCCCCGGGGCTTGGAGCAGCCAGGGAAAGGGGTGGGGCTGGATGGGGTTTGAGATCCCACCCAAAGCATTCCATGATTCCCTAAAAATCTCCTTTTAATGTGGTTTATTCCCCTTAAAAATATAATTTTAATGTGGTTTATTCCCTTTTAAAATCTCCTTTTAATTTGTTTTATTTTTAGAGCATTAATCCATTGAAATTTGACTTTTCCCTCAGGGAAATAAGCAGGAATGGGGAATCCATGGCTGTCAGGAAAAGCAGGAATGGGGAATCCATGGATCCTGGAAAAGCAGGAATGGGGATCAGCAGGAATGGCTGTCAGGATCCCATGGATCCGGGAAATTCAGGAATTCTGCCAGCAGGGCCCGCAGGGTTCGCTCGGGCCGGGAAAAGCCGAGAGGAGGAGCGGGAGGGCCCCGGAGGCGTTCCCGGGTCTGCGGCGCGTTCCCGGCCCCGAACCCGAGACATTCCCGGGGTGATTCCCGGTCCCATTCCCAGAGTGATTCCAGAGGCGTTCCCGGCTTCATTCCCGGTCCCGGTTTCTGCTTCATTCCCGGCTCATTCCCGGTCCCGGTCTCGGCTCATTCCCGGCTCATTCCCGGTCCCATTCCCGGAGTGATTCCCGGGGTGATTCCCGAGTCATTCCGGAGTGATTCCCGAGTCATTCCCGGCTCATTCCCGGGAAGTGAGTGCGGAGGGAAGTGAGTCATTCCAGCGGGATTGCAGCGGGCCAGGCACGGGCCAGGCACGGGTCAGTGACAGAGCCCTGAGCGCCTCCCACCCCCGCTGCTGGGAACCGGGAGAGACAGGGTTAAAAAATCCCAAATACATCCCGTGAATTAATTATCATATCGTTAACATCTCACATTGCTTCTGTATTTAATGTTTCTTACTGGTTTCTGGTTTATTTCCTGTTTATTTATTTGTTTATTTGTTTATTATTTCTTTCTTATTGCGTCTTATTTATTTCGTATTTGTTTCTCATTTATTTCTTAAGTATTTCTATTTATTTCTTATTTTCCAGCAAGTCCTGCCTCCACGCTCCCTAGCTCCTGGAATCCAGGGGAAAGCCCACTGGAAATATCCCGGGAAAACCCCACTGAGCTCTCCACTCTTAGCAGCTTTTCCCGAGACAATTCCAGCTCTTTGTGCCAATTCTTTGTGCCAGGAATTCCCGGAATTCCCACTCCAGGCTGGAAACAGGGAATGGTTCCCAGCCTTGTGCTCCTCCTGGCTCCAGGAATTCCTGGGAATTCCCACCCCAGGCTGGGAATGGTTCCCAAACTTTTCTCCTCCCGGCTCCAGAGAAACAATTCCCAGCTCTGTCCCTGCAGCATTCCCGGAAGTCCTGGGAATTCCCAGGAATTCCATCAGGGAACAGGATGGAAAGGAGAGGAAAATTAAAAAAAAAATTAAATTTTAAATAAAATAAAAAAAAATTAAGTCCCTTTAAAAAATCGAATTTCCCAGTCTGGAAAAGAGGGATAAATTATGGAAATGGATGGGAAAAGGATGAAAAATAATTTTAAAACCCTCAAAAATCGAATTTCCCAGGCTGGAAAAGAGGGATAAATGATGGAAATGGATGGAAAAAGGTTGAAAATCATTAAAAAACCCTCAAAAATCGAATTTCCCAGGCTGGAAAAGAGGGCTGTATGACAGAAGGGATGGAAAAGGAGCAGAAAATGGGAATTCCGGGGCCGGGCGGGTCCCGCAGCGCTCGGGCCGTGATTCAGCGGATGGGGCCGGGCGGGCGGAGCAGGAAAGGCACCTGCGGCAGGCAGGGATAAAACTCACCTGAGCTGGCTGCCCGCGGGATTCCTGTCCGAGAGGCTCCCGGGGCTCGAACATGGCATTTCTGGGCATTTCGGGGCATTTCTGCCGGATTTCTGGGCATTTCTGAAGGATTTCTGGTGGATTTTTGGGGGATTTTTGGAGCATTTCTGGTGGATTTCCAGATTTCTGGAAGATTTTTGCAGTATTTTTGGAGGATTCCTGGTGGCTTTCTGGTGGATTTCCAGATTTCTGGAGGATTTTTGGAGGATTTCTGTGGATTTCCAGGTTTTCGGAGGATTTCTGGTGGGTTTCCAGATTTTTGGAGGATTTCTGTGGATTCCTGGAGGATTTCTGGGGACTGGGAGAGCAGGAGATGGTTTTGTCCCACTGACAGCACCCGGACAGGTATTTATGGGATGGGGGCTAAAATCCCACTGAGGGATCGCCAGGAACTGGGAATGGGGAACAGGGAATGGAGAATTGGGACTGGGATTGTTGGAGTGGGATCACTGGGACTGGGGAGCTGGAATAGGGATTGCTGGAACTGGGATCAGTGGGACTGGGGTCATTGGGACTGGGATTGTTGGGATTGGGATCACTGGGACTGGAATTGTAGGAGTGGGATCAATGGGATCGCTCAGATTGTTGGGACTGGGATCGTCGGAACTGGGATCAGTGAAACAGGACAAGTCCTAATCCCAAATCCCAGTTCACCAAATCTCAAATCCCATCCCGGACGTGCCCCCTTTCTGTTCTGCTGTCACGGTGCAGAAAGATCCCTGGCATTTACAAAAAGCATGGAATTCCTCTCCTGGATGGCTTCATTACTTCCCAAAGCTCCTGGAATATCCCAGTAAAATTCTGGGAAAAGGAGAGGCTCGGGATTGAAAAAAAAAAAACCTGAAAATCCAACAAAAAAGCCCCTAAAAGAAAATGAATTCTGTTAAAAATGAGGAGGGGAAGGTGACGGAATTTAAAATCACTCATCTTCAGCTTGATCCAAATCCCTGCTGATCCTGAAAGCCCAAAAATCAAAATATCAAACAAAAATTAAGCAGAATAAAAGGATAAAAATAAGCAAAAATCTCAAGTTAATCAACCCAAGGATGCCACGGTGGCATTTAGAAAGTTGGAAAATTTGAATTTTTATTTAAAAGCAAATTTTGGGTAAATGTGGAGCTGAATTCAGGATTTTGCTGGGCTGGAGCTGACGTAGGCCAGGCCAGGAAAGAGCTCCCAGGTTTTCATAATTAATAATTCATAATGTCATAATTCATCATTAATAATTTCATAATTCATCATTAATTTCATAATTGTGCAATAAGAACCTGGGCAAGCCGAGGCTTCTCCCTTTCCCAGCTGCTCAGAATTCCTGAAAATCCCTGGAAGACTCCCAGGAACCGCGAAAATGGCATTGAGGGGATGGGGAAAAAAAGGGAATATTCAGGCAAAAAAATCAAGATAAAAAGGGAAAAACTCCCTCAGGTTCTCCTCCCCTTTGTGCTGGTTTGGGCTTGGATTTGGGATTTATCTGTAAGCAGAAAAAAAAAATTTAAAAAATTGATTAAAACCCATTAAAACTCATGAAAAATACACAAAATTTAACCCCAGGAGAATCTGCACCCTAAAAAAAAAAATTCCATATTTAAATGAAGAGAAGCCCAAAAAAAGAGAACTTATGAAGGGGGATATAGAATAAATAAATATATCAAAATGGAAAAGATATTTTAAAGAAATATATTAACTGTAACTATAAATAGGGTTCTAAAATATAAATATAAATATAGAGCTAAATATAGAGCTAAATATAAATAGAGAGATAAATATAGATAGATAGAGAGAAATGAATATAAATACAAATATAAATACAGATCTATAAATATAAATATAAACAGAAGATATTATAAACAGAGGAGAGAATAAATGACATAAATAATAGAAATAATTACAAACAATGCCATTAGTATAAATTATAAATGTTAATACTCATAAATAATTCCATATAAATAATGAAGATTTTTTTTTTCCCCCTTGTGGAACGCGGGGAATATTTGACCTCCCTTAATTAAGTCCGGGTTTAATTGCTGGGCCAGCTGTAATTACCGGAAGCAGCACAGATCTCGGTGACACATCCCAGAAAAATCCCCCGGAGCCGGCCCCAGGAATTTCCGGGAATTTCCGGCTGCTCGGGACAGGAATTGGGGATGGGGGCAGGTGGATCCTGAAATAATCCGCATTTTGGGGGGCTATGAGGGGGATGAAGCTCAAAATTCGGGTCTAGATGTGGCTGGAGAGAAAATAATCTGAATTTTGGGGATTTGAAGTAGAATTAAGCTCAAAATTTGGCTCTCGATGCAGGTGATGCCTGAAATAATCTGAATTTGGGGGATTCCAAGGGGAATGAAGCTCAAAATTTGGGTCTGGATGAAAATGGAGATAAATAATCCAAATTTTGGGGGATTCTGAGGGGGCTTCAGGGACAGGAGCTGAAATTTTGGCTCTGAATGCAGATACTGCCTAAAATAACCCAGATTTTGGGGGGTTTTAAGAAGGCTGAAGCTCAAAATTTGTCTCTGGGTGCAGGTGATGCCTGAAAAAATCCAAATTTTGGGAGTTCCAGGCCCAGCAGCCGTTTCCCCCTCCCGTCCCACCCCAAGCTGCAGCTCCAGGCTGAGAATTCCTGACTTTTACCAGGAAAATCCTGAATTTCATCCCAAGAATTCCTGACTTTCACCAGGAAAATCCTGAATTTCCTCCCTCCCTTCCGTGGTTTTTCCGGAATTCCGGGCCCAAATCCCCAAAAAAGCTTTTTTCCCCCCCATTTTCTGTCTCTTAGGCCCGGCTCAAGCTCCCTAAGGTCGGGATTAGTGATTCCCATGGAATTCTCTGCTCGGGATTAGCCATTCCCATGGAATTGTCTGCTCTGCTCCCGCCTCCCCGCGCCCGGGGTACGTTGAATTTTTTTGGGAATTTTCTGCCCAAAGAAGGAGGAATTTTTGGGGAATTTTGCTCCTGTCCCTACAGCTCCAGCTGAGAAAGGTTTGGGGGATCCCTAAGGGTTTTTTGGGATCACTGATGGGATTTTTTGGGGTTGGCCAAAAGTTGAGGTCAGGTGGAATGAGAAGGATAAAATAAATAAATTAAATTAAATTAAAAGCAGGCGATTCTGAATAAATAAAAATAAAATAAGAAAAAGAATAAAATAATAAAAGGATAAATTAAAATAAAATAATAAAGGAAGATAATAAAAGAAAATAAAATGGAATAAAATGAAATAGAATAAAATAAAATAGAATAGAATATAGAATAAAATAAAATAGAATAAAATAGAATAGAATAGAATAAATGAAAATGGAATGGAATGGAATAAATAGAATAGAATAGAATAGAATAGAATAGAATAGAATAGAATAGAATAGAATAGAATAGAATAGAATAGAATAGAATATAGAATAGAATAGAATAGATAGAGTAGAATAGAATAAAATGGAATAGGATAGGATAAAATAAAAGAAAATTAATAGAATAGGATAGATACAGGATAAAATAAAATTAAATGAATAGAAGAGAAGAGAACAAAACCCAAGACCGCAATGCAATAAACGCCGCGCTGTTTCTCTTGCAGAGCCTCCCCGTGCCCGGGGCTCCATCGCCATGTCCTGCTTCCCGCAGCTGCGGCGCTCCCGCCCCGCGGAGCCCCCGGCCAGCCCCGGGGACCCTCCCTCCAGCCCCGCCGAGTCCCCGAACCGCCCCGGGGCCGCCTCCCCGGTGTCCCTGAGCCCCACATCGGTGTCCCTGAGCCCCACGTCGCTGCCCCTGAGCCCCACGTCGCTGCCCCTGAGCCCCACGTCGCTGCCCCCGGGCAAGCGCGGCCGCTCGCCGCTGGGCTCGCCGCTGGGCTCGCCCAAGCCCGCCTCGCCGGTGGAGTGCTCCATCTGCTTCACCTCCTACGACAACTCCTTCAAGACGCCGAAGCTGCTGCAGTGCTCGCACGTGTTCTGCCTGGAGTGCGTGGCGCGGCTGAGCGCGGCGCTGGCCGCGGGCCAGGAGGCGCTGCCCTGTCCCTTCTGCCGCCAGCCCACCTGCCTGCCCCGGCAGGGCGCGCCCGGGCTGGCCACCAGCCGCGAGCTGCTGGCCACGCTGCCGCCCGAGCTGCAGGGAGCGGCAGCTCTGGATGGACGGCACCCGCCTCTGCTGCCGCCGCGCCTCGGCCGACGCCGAGAACCCGGACTCGTGCGACTCCATCGACGTGGCCATGGCCAAGGCCGAGAGCGCCGAGGTGGCCCCGGCGGGCTGGCGGGGCGGCTGTCGCGATGCGACATCTGCGACGATTGGAAGCGCATCGTGCTGCTCTCGGCGCTGCTCATCATCCTCTTCTGCATCATCCTGTGGCCCGTGCAGTGCGCGCTGAAAACCGGCAACCTGCGCTGCTTCGCGCGGGCCACCGGCCGGCCCGAGCTGCTGGTCCCCAAGGCCACCGCGGCCCGGCCACACGGCCACCCTTCCACTAGGGATCGGGCAAGATGGCGGCTGCCGTCCTGACAGGGGCCTGCGACAAAATCCCCATTCTGGCAGTGCCAGAGCCTCTGGATCTGCTCAGGAATGAAGAACAGGGATGGCAGCTGCTGTCTTGACAGGACCTGGGACAAAATCCCCGTTCCACCAGGAGTTCCTGAATCTGCTCTGGGATGGGGGACAAGGGACAGGACAAAAACCTTTCCTGGATCTGCTCCATCCCCAGCGCGGCGGTGCCAAGCAGGACCCGCTGCATTCCTGGCATTGCCGGCAGATCCCACATCCCACTCACCGCACTCCCGTGCCTCTGGAATGTCCCCGTGCCTCTGGAATGTCCTTCCTGTGCCTCTGGAATGTTCCCGTGCCTCTGGAACCTTCCTGTGCCTCTGGATTGTCCTTCCCGTGCCTCTGGAATGTCCCCGCGTCCCGCTGCCCGGCTCTTCATGGAATTCAGGCTCTCCATGGAATGCAGGGCTGGGAATGCTCCGGGAGCTTCCCAGGATCCCCCGTTCCTCCCGTTCCTGAGGGAATAAAGGGATCCCCCGCCCGGAGCAGCTCCGGGATTATTCCCGTGAGGAGCTGGGATGGAGAGGGCTGGATGAAGAGATGGGAAACACCCAGAATTCCAGAAGCTGGGAGGGTGGACCACGAGTTCCAGAGGCTGGGAAGGTGAAACACCAGAATTACAAAGGCTGGGAAGGGGAAACCCAAATTCCAGAGGTTGGGAAGGGGAAACACCAGAATTCCAGAGGCTGGGAAGGGGAAACCCAAATTCCAGAGGCTGGGAAGGGGAAACACCAGAATTCCAGAGTCTGGGAAGGGGAAACACCAAAATTACAGAGTCTGGGAGGGTGAATCCCAAATTCCAGAGGTTGGGAAGGTGAATCTCGAATTCCAGAGGCTGGGAAGGGGAAACACCAGAATTCCAGAGGCTGGGAGGTTCCCCGGTGCTGAGGGAATAAAAGAGACAAGGGGGGAAAAGCAGAGACTCCCACGAGCTGAAACCACAGCGGAGGTGAAGGAAAGACACAAAAATCCTGCAAAACCCTGGGATTGGGGCTGGAATTCCTGGAAAAACCAAATTTAGGAGACTTCACTCTTCTCTGCCCAGCAAACAGCACCAGGAAAAGTAGGATTTTCCTCTATCCTAGGGGGGAAAAAAAGGAAAAAAAAGAAGCAGCAGGTCACTTTAAAAACCTCTTTAATCGTTTCCAAACTTTATTTCTGGGTGATTCGACGAAAGACACGAGTTAGTAATGGTTACATCATGCTGCTTCCTCTCCTGCCCATCCCAACTCAGCCAGGAATCCACCCTCTCCATGGACAGCTCAGGGGTTTTAAATTAAAAAAAAAAAAAAAAAAAAAGGCAAAAAAAGCAAAAAAAAAAATCCAGAAAAAAAACCCCAACCTCAATGTTTCTCTATTTTTTTTTTTGTTTGGCACATTCTGTGGTAGAAATGTTGTTAAAAATAAAACCCAGCTGAAGTATGCTGCTGGAAATTCCAAATGCTCCCCCAAGAGGACACAAATCCTGGTTTAAGCATTTCCAAGCCCCAGCAAAAGCAGGAGGAATTTTATATTTATTTTTTCAGTTGTTGGGTTTTTGTTAGTTTTTTTTTTTGTTTGTTTGTTTTTTTTTTTTTTTTTTTTTTTTTATTTATTTTGCTGTTTCTTCAGCAGCTTCCCAGCCCCTCTGGAGCTGGAACATCCAGCCCAACTGGGAATCCCGCTCCCAAAATATGGACTGGGGGACTGCCAGAGCCCTCCCAGCCCAGCCCAGCTTTTCCCCACCAGGAATCCCAATTTGGACCCAGCAGCTCCAAAAAATGGGAACTTTGGCACCCACAGAACCCCCCAGGCACAGCAGAGCCCTTCATCCCACACAGGGCACAGCCCCCATGGAAGATTAAACCCGGGGTTTTCCACAGGAATGTCACAGCTTGGGAATATTATTATTTTTTAAATCAAATAAATGAAATCAAAGCAGATCTGAGTGGTTTTTCCATAGGTTTTCCCTCTTGGTTCACCTTTGTTCAGAACTCACCCTGAGAGAAGAAATTTGACCTTTCTTGGCTCAAAAGTTGGTGCCAAAACACCATTCCAAAGGGTGCCCTGCAAGGTGGGGTGGAAATTTAGGGGGAAAAAAGCCAAATTCTGGCACCTCGGGCAGGAATTCCTACCCAGAACCCGGCAGGATCCCGCAGAAGAATTCCCAAAAGTTGTTTTTCCACAGAGAAATTCCAGCTGAGGCCACAAAGCACGAGGAAATCCTTCCATGGAGAAGGAATCCCAATGGGATTTCTCCCAGAGCTGGGACCCATCTGCTCCTCTCCACATTCCAGGGGATCCCGGCCTGCAGCCACACCCCAAAAACTTCAGAACTGGCCCCACAATTTTCCTTTCCTGGAAGAAAATGCTTCAAATTCCCCCCAAATCCTCCACAGCCTCGCTGCTGCTCCTGTTGGAGCCCTTCCTGCTGGGCTGGCAGCATCCAGAGGAACCTGGAAGACCCAAGAACTCCAAGTCCAAGGTGAAAAATTCCGAATTTTCTTTGTGGGAGTGGCTCAGTGGCAGCTCTGCCTTGCCAGGCTGGGAGCCAGAGGCTGGAGAAGGCCGTGGGGCGTGGAAGGACACACCCAGGAGATCTCTGAGGAGGGAAAAGGGAATTTCCTGGTCCTTTTGGGAGAGGGAGAGAATTCCCAGCTCCTGGAGAGGAGCTCCAAGCGATCCCCAGCACGAGGGAGGGGTCAGGACACGTCTGGGATGAACACAAAATGTGGCAATGAGGTTTCACAGCTGCTCCTGCACGTGTCCGAGAGGAAGAGGAGGAGGAGAACCGCTGGGAAAATCCACATTTTGGCCTCCCCAGCACCTCTGAGTCCAGCAAAGAGTCCCGAGGCGGGCGCGGAGCGAAGCTCGGGCCCGGCTCTCTCCCTTCCAGCGCGTGGCATCCCTGATTTGAGCAGAGCTCGGAGGAGAAAAGCACTTGAGATCCTTACACACATAAATTACAGTGAGAGGAATGGGGGGTAGCAGGAATTCAGTGAACACGGGGCCAGGAGAAGGTTTGGAAGAGCCAGAGCCCGGAGCAGGGTGGGAATTCCCACCCCGTCAATCCGTGAGGGCCTCGCCAGCACCGGCAGCGTTTCCCCCGCACAGGAAAACGGGCTTGTTTTTGGGGACAAACCCCCCAAAAACAGGCAAAAAAGGGGGAAAACGACCCCAGAACGAAGAAGCTTCAAGTATGAAGAAGATCGACGCCGCAGTGGGAGAGTTCTGGTGCCACTCCTCGGAGCCTCGGCCGAGCTTCGCTCCGCCGCTCGCCGCCCCAAGAACCCAAAAGCAAAAAGGGGTTCCTGCCCTCCCTGTCCCCCCAAAAATATAAAAAGCAATAAGTTTACAAAAATAGAAAATAATTACAGCAATAGGCAGGGGGGAGGGAGGTGCCTGGGCTCTATTGGGCCGAGCAGTGCAAAATCCGCGGCCGGTTCAGGGCGTCCTCCTGCAGGTGCAGCTCCCGGCGGTCCACCAGCACGTCCCGCATGCAGCCCACGAAACCCGTGCTGAACGCCTTGGGCAGGCGCTGCGGCACGCTCGGCTTGTCCAGCCCGCCTGGAGAGAGAGCAGGGCACAGCTCAGGGACAGGGACAGGGGACAGCTCAGGGACAGAGCAGGGGACAGGGACAGAGCAGGGGACAGGGACAGAGCAGGGGACAGCTCAGGGGACAGCTCAGGGGACAGGGACAGAGCAGGGGACAGGGACAGAGCAGGGGACAGCTCAGGGGACAGGGACAGAGTAGGGGACAGGGACAGAGCAGGGGACAGGGACAGAGCAGGGGACAGCTCAGGGACAGGGACAGAGCAGGGGCAGCTCAGGGACAGAGCAGGGGACAGGGACAGAGCAGGGGACAGCTCAGGGACAGAGCAGGGGACAGCTCAGGGGACAGCTCAGGGACAGGGACAGAGCAGGGGCAGCTCAGGGACAGGGACAGAGCAGGGGACAGGGACAGGGGACAGCTCAGGGACAGAGCAGGGGACAGGGACAGAGCAGGGGACAGGGACAGAGCAGGGGACAGCTCAGGGGACAGGGACAGAGCAGGGGACAAGGACAGAGCAGGGGACAGCTCAGGGACAGAGCAGGGGACAGCTCAGGGGACAGCTCAGGGACAGGGACAGAGCAGGGGCAGCTCAGGGACAGGGACAGAGCAGGGGACAGGGACAGAGCAGGGCACAGCTCAGGGACAGGGACAGAGCAGGGGACAGCTCAGGGACAGGGACAGAGCAGGGCACAGCTCAGGGGACAGGGACAGCACCCCTGGAAATGACACGGGCTTAGCTGGGGACAGGTCACACAGACTGGGGACTGTCACACACAGCCTGGCCCCGGCACCGTCACGCTGCCACCACTGGGGCCTGTCCCTGTCCCTCCCTGGAATGGATTTCCCAGGGCAGCTGGGGCTGCCCCATCCCTGGACACCGGGAATGTCCCACCCCTGGACACCGGGAATGTCCCTCCCTGACACCGGGAATGTCCCTCCCTGCACTCACCCAGCCACAGTGCCCCGTCCGTGTCCAGCTGGGTGGCCCCGAGCGGAGAGGAGCCGGCGATGGGGGCTTCGTTGCCAACCTGCAGGGAGCCTTCCCTCTGCACCCTGCTCCCGAGGGAGAGGAAGAGCAGGGATTCAGGAACAGCCCAGCTCCTGGTCCCAGTCCCGCTCCCAGTCCCATCCCGCTGGCGATCGGCTGACCTGGAGGCGCGGATGCGCACCCACTGGTTGGTGTTGACGGGCACGCTGGAGCGCAGGGTGACGCCCTTGGAGCCCAGGTCGTAGCTGAGCTGCACGTGCCCGTCCACGATGGCCAGGGCGATGTAGTCGGAGCGCTGCAGCCCCTTGCCGCTCCACAGCAGCAGCCCCTGCGTCGCCTCCGTCTTGATGCTCAGCTCGAAGTGGTTGGACTGCAGCGCCTTCTCACTGCAGGCACAGCCGGGGCAGTCCTGGGCAGCGCCCCTTCCTCCCCTCCTCCTCATCCTCCCCTTCCTCCCCTGCTCCCCCACAGCCAGCTGGGACAAACCCCCTGCCTGTCCCCGCCCGCTGGCCTGGAGGGTCTCAGGTTTTGGGATAACTCCATCCCACCGAGCAGCTCAGAGCTGGGATGGTCTCCATCCCATTCCTGGAATTGGGATTCACCCATATGGTCTGTGCCCTAAAGGTGCCAGATTTTGGGATAATCTCCGTCCAGTTCCTGGGATTTACCCACAGTGGCCTTGGCTGTCCCTGCAGGGTCACTCACCCCGGGGCTGGTGGCCCTTTGCCAACCCCTCAGGGATAAAAAGCCGGGACAGGGACACAGAGAACACAGACATGCCGAGGCACAGGGACACGGGGACATGCCGAGGCACGGGCAGAGCGGGGGACAGGCACAGCCTGGACACTCACCTGGGCTCTGAGGGGGAATCCAGCGCCTCGGGACTCGGATGGGGAGAAAAGGGGAGCGAGAGCCATAAGCCAGGGGCAGCCAGGAGACCCTGCCTTCCTCCTCCTCCTTCTTCCTTCCTCCTCCTCCTTCTTCCTTCCTCCTCCTCCTTCTTCCTTCCTCCTGTTCCTTTCCTTTCCTTTCCTTTCCTTTCCTTTCCTTTCCTTTCCTTTCCTTTCCTTTCCTTTCCTTTCCTTTCCTTTCCTTTCCTTTCCTTTCCTTTCCTTCCTTTCCTTTCCTTTCCTTTCCTTTCCTTTCCTTTCCTTTCCTTTCCTTTCCTTTCCTTTCCTTTCCTTTCCTTTCCTTTCCTTTCCTTTCCTTTCCTTTCCTTTCCTTTCCTTTCCTTTCCTTTCCTTTCCTTACCCTGGAGGAGGAAAAATCACTTTTATGGGCAGCCAAATGCAGCAGCGGGGTGTGGGAGAAGCTCCCTCAAAGGATGGGGCAGCACAGCCCAAACTGGCTGGGAAAAGGCTGGAAAAGGTCTGGGAAAAGGCTGAGAAAAAGCTGGAAAAGGGCTGGGAATGGTGACATTCTCTCTGCAGGGACAGGAGGCAGCAGGAATGTGGCTCAGGAATGGGGCACAGGGACAACTGTGGCTCACAGTGCTGGAGGGCACTGCCCGGCTTAGCAGAATGGCTCAGGATAATCCTAAAATTCCTAAAAATCCCTTTCCAGCCCCTCCCAGTCTCCTAAAATTCCCTAAAATCCCTTTGCAGCCCCTCCCGGCGGCGTGGACATGCAGGTGACGGCTCTGCAGCCCCCCATGCACAGGCACAGCTCAGCCCCCACGGCCCTGAGGGCACCCCATGAGGTGGGATGGGATGGGATGGGGTGGGATCCCTCCAAATCCCCCAAATCCCCCCCTTCCCACAGCAGGGAATTTTGGGATCCCTTTTAGGGCTTCCCTTCCACGCAGGACAGACCCACAGCAAATCTGAGTTGTCCAGGGATTGGGATTTCTCCCCGTCCTCCTGCCCTGAGCCTTTCCCTGACCCCTCAAACACACTGGGGGTGTTCTGAGGGGTTCTCAGTGCCACATCCATGCTGGAAAATTCCAGGATCAGCACCCCAAGTTTCCATCTCCAACAGCCTCAGGCTGCTGCTGGAGCTGGAAACCGCAGGGGTTTTCCTTCCCTGTGCTCATCCTTGTTAAAATCACGCTTGAAAATCCCCTGAAGGCATGCTGGGAGTACAACAGCTGGCTGTGGCAGGGCTGGGACAACATCTGGATGGGGCACAGGGGACGCAGCTCCTGCCCAGCCCCACGAGCTGCCCTCGGCAGCCGAGCCTTCCTCCCCCCGGAATGGGAAGAGTTTTCCAGATTTCCATCCCAAGGCCGGGAGAGGCCCCGGGCGGCTCCCCCAGCCCTGCCCTGAGCTGCCCCGGGGTCTGGGGGTGACAATGGGGACGTGGTGAGGGTGGCAGGGCCGTACTCACGCTGGGATCTCATTGCTCAGGTGGCTTGGAAACAGAGAAACAGCGACATTGAGAGGGGACAGAGACACGGACGGACAGACAGACACAGAGGGACAGACAGACACACAAACAGGGACAGACACCTGGGGAGGGACAGACAGACACCCAGAGAGGGACACACACCCTGGGAAGGACAGGGTTAGGGTTAGGATGATGGGAATCCATCCCTGAGATGATTGGAATCCATCCCGAAGGTAGGAACCCATTCCCTGAGATGATGGGAACCCATTCCCTGAGGTGGAACCCATCCCTGAGATGATGGGAACCCATTCCCTGAGGTGGAACCCATCCCTGTGGTGCCGGGCCGGTACCTCCTGGTGACGGCGTTGTGGAACTCCAGGTACGTGCGGCCGTCGAAGGCCACGGCCTCGGTGTCCCCTGCTGCCTTCTCGATGATGGCTGCGGGGACATGGGAGATGGGACACGGGGAGGTGGGACATGGGGGGATGGGAAAAGAGGGGCCGGAAAAGGCCGGGAGCTCCTGGGAGACGGGACAAACCCCCCTGAGCACCGACCCCCGACAGGACAGTGGCACAGCCGCACCTTCAGCCTCCCATGGCCACCTCCAACCGCTGGGCCACCCCCAGCTCCCCATGGCCACCTCCACCTTTCCTGTGGCACCTCCAGGTTCCCATGGCCACCACCACCCCCCTGGGCTACCTCCACCTTCCCCACAGCCACCTCCAACCCCCCATGGCCACCTCCAACCCCTGGTGTCACCTCCAATCCTCCATAGCCACCCCCAGCCCCAGTGGGCACCCCAGCCCCGGTGGCCACCCCCAGATCCCCATGGCCACCCCCAGATCCCCATGGCCACCCCCAGCCCCGGTGGCCATCCCCAGATCCCCATGGCCACCCCCAGATCCCCATGGCCACCCCCAGCCCTGGTGGCCATCCCCAGATCCCCATGGCCACCCCAGCCCTGGTGGCCACCCCGTCCCCGGTGGCACGCACCCTTCTCGCAGCGGGCGCCCGCGAAGCCGGCGTGGCAGGAGCACTGGTACCCGGCCATGCTGGGCTGGCAGGTGCCACCGGGCTGGCACGGGTTGGGCTCCTGGGTGCAGGGGTGGCCCCGGAACGGAACCACCTGCCGGGCCGCGCGGACGTTCTGCTCCCGCAGCACCGGCACGCCGTCCACCAACACCTGCGGGGAGCCGCACCTCAGCTGGAGCCGGTCCCCCAAAACCGGGAATTCCATCCCGGGCAGCGCCCCCGGCACGGCGGGAGGGGTCCCGGGCACAGGGGGGGGCTTGGGGGGCAGGTCTCCAACCCAACCCAAGGATCAACAGAGGGTCCTTCCTCACCCACCTCCGTCCCTGGGACACTGGGCAGTGTCCACGGGGACAGGAGGAGGTGGGATCCCATCCCTAGGATGATGGGAATCCATCCCTAGGGTGGGAACCCACCCCAAAGATGATGGGAATCTATTCCAAGTGTCCCCAAACTCCCCTTCTGTCCCCCACTGGTGCCCCTGTTCCCCCAGCAGGACAGCTCCCAGGTCCATCTCAGGACAGGTGGGACATTGGGCTGGCCAGCTGGACACTGGCCAGGCCAGCAGGACACGAGTGACCAGCAGGACACTGGCCAGGCCAGCAGAACACAGGAGTGACCAGCTGGACACTGGAGTGACCAGCAGGACACAGGAGTGACCAGCTGGACAGTGGCCAGGCCAGCAGGACACGAGTGACCAGCAGGACACTGGCCAGGCCAACAGGACACTTGAGTGACCAGCAGGACACTGGCCAGGCCAGCAGGACACTGGCCCGGCCAGCTGGACACTGGAGTGACCAGCAGGACACAGGAGTGACCAGCAGGACACAGGAGTGACCAGCAGGACACTGGCCAGGCCAGCAGGACACAGGAGTGACCAGCAGGACACTGGCCAGGCCAGCGGGATCTCACCCACCTTCTGCAGAGCCCCCTCGAAGCCGCTGGAGACCGCGGCCGCTCGCGCCAGCCTGGAGAAGTCGGGGGCTCCCCCCAGGTAGAGCGGCTCCTTCAGGTTCAGCACCATGTGAGGCACCTGGGGACATGGAGGGACACGGGGGACAAGGGGTCAGCTCATCCCTGCCCCTCCCAGAGCTGCCCTTGGTGGCCCTCGTGGCTCTGCAGTTTGGGGTATTTGATGAGAATTGATTGGATTTGATATTTTATTGATGGTTCTATGGACGGAGCCGCCAGGAAACCTCCTCATGCCAAGGGCCGCCAGCTCCTCCTGGGAAAGGTTTTCCCTGGATTGAATTTTGGGGAGAGGCTCTTCCCACAGCCTCAGGCCTGGAGGGGGGCTCTGCTTTGGTGTGCCCCCCAAAATTGGGGTACCCAGAGCCTGCTGCTCAATCCCAGCTCGTTCCAGCCCGGCTGCCCAGCCTGGAGGAGCAGGTTCAGCTTTTCTCCTGCTCCCCACGGCCTGAGGAGGTTCTCCTGCAGCCCACGTGGTGGTTTTGGAGGAGAAGATCCCCTCCTTGCTGTCACAGCCCCAGGATTCCCGGGAATTCTCCACGCTGGAGCCAGGGCCACAGCAAGGACGGGGTGACATGGATGGCTAGCTAATGTTCTGTGGGATTAACACGAAGTAAAATGAGCAGATTGACTGAAATGGCCCCGAAACAAAAGGTGACGAGTGGCTGGGGATGAAGGACAGGAGAAGGAATGAGGGGCTGGAAACTACAGGGATCCTAAATCGGATGGGGGAAGATGAAAAAACCCCAAAAGAGGAAGGAGGTGCCGATGGCAGATGAGATGGAGGCGGGGGGTCCATACTTATCTGTACCTTACGGGATTTCTGGGATCCAGAAAACAAAGGGAAATCAGAGGGAGAGGGAAAAAAGAGAGAGAAAAGGGACATCAGTGGGGTGACACCGCAACGGGCAGGGCTGGCACGGCCCCGCTGCCACCGCGCTGGGTGGCTCAGGGGCGGCAGGAGGGTCGCTGCCCCCCGGGGCACTGCCCTGCCCGGAGAGGGGAGAGCCAGGGCAGGAAAATCCTGGATTTTGGTTCGGAGGGTTTAGGGATGAGCCTTTCCTGCCTTCTCCTGGGAAGAGGGAGGGAAGGGATCCCAGGAATGCCCAGGGATGCCCAGGAATTCAGGGAGGGGCTGCAAAATTCCCACCTGGGAGAGGAGCAGAGGAAGCACCAAGGGATGCAGCAGCAGCAGGGCTGGGGCTTTCCTGCTCCCTGAGCTCCTCTGGCTGCTGGGGGCTCTTAATGGTTAATTACAAGGGGGGGGAAATTCCACTCAAACCCCGAATTTACAGCCCAGGAACTGAGAGATTCCACTCAAATCCAGAATTTAAAGGCCAAGAATTGAGAAATTCCACTTTTCCACCTTCAAACCTTTTCCACCTTCATTCCAGTTTTCCAGCTTTAAAGACCAGGAGCCTGAGAATTCCACTCCTCCATCCTCAAACCCAGAATTTCCATCCCAGGAGCCCCAGAAATTCCCCTCAGACGCTGAATTTCCATCCCAGGAAGCTCAGAAATTCCCCTCCCACCCCGAACGCTCCCGGCTGGGCGGGTTTGGGGTCCCCCTCACCGGGGACTCCCCGGTCACCGCGGGGCCACCGTTGACCCTCAGGACGCCCTTGCGGCCGCTGCGCTCCAGCCGGACGCTGACCCAGGTGTCCAGCGGCACCGGCTCCCTGCTCCTGGGGAAAGGAAAAAAGGGTTAAAATCCATAAAAATCCATTAAAAACCTTAAAATATGTTTAAAAATCCATTAAAACACCTTAAAATCCATTTAAAATCCATAAAAACTGCAGCCTCACTCGGCTGAGTGACACGGGACGGTCCCAGTGCCACCGGTGCCCTCACCTGGGCACGGCCAGAGTGCCACCAGTGCCAGCAGTGTCATTGGCACCCTCACCTGGGCATGGCCAGAGTGCCAGCGGTGCCACCTGAGCGCCACCAGTGTCACTAGCACCCTCACCTGGGCATGGCCAGAGTGCCAGCGGTGCCACCTGAATGCCAGCAGTGTCCTCACCTGAACTGTGCCAGCTGTGCCGGGTGTTTCCCCTGAGTGGTGCCAGCTGTGCCACTGTGCCAGCTGTGCCCTCACCCGAATTGTGCCAGCTGTGCCAGCTGTGCCGGGGTCTCACCTGAGCAGGGCGGGCCCCTTGCCCAGGTCGAAGCGGAACTCCAGGTGCCCGCCGTGCAGTGCCAGGCTGACGAAGTCGCCGCCGCCGTCGCTCCTCTGCCCGTTGTACAGGATCAGCCCCCGCGGGCGCCGCGCCAGCAGCACCAGGTCCAGCGACATCCGATCGCTGCAAGGGCATCGATTAGTGGGTATTGATCGGGGGTACTGGTTATCGGTTATTCATTAGTGATTACTGCTTCTTGATTAGTGATTACTGGTTAGCAATTAGGGGTTATTGCTTATTGATTACTGGTTAGTGATTAGGGGTTATTGATTATTGGTTAGTGATTTTTGGCTATTGATTAGTGATTTTTGGCTATTGATTAGTGATTTTTGGCTATTGACGAGTGATTAGGGGTTATTAATTATTGGTTATTGATTAGTGATTACTGGTCCCTCTGTCCCTCCATCCCTTGTCCCTTGTTCTTCTGTCCCTCTGCCCCTCCGTCCCTTGTCCCTCCACCCTTCTGTCCCTGTGTCCCATGTCCCTCCGTCCCTCCGCCCCTGTCCCCGTGTCCCTGTGTCCCTCTGTCCCTCCATCCCTTGTCCCTCTGTCCCCGTCCCCTGACTCACGGCAGGCCGGGCACGAAGCTCTGCAGCCCTGGGAGCTCCAGGTAGGAGGAGCCGCTGAACTGGGGCAGGAAGGGCACGGCCGGGTCCTGCTCCGACTCTGGGCACACAGCAGGGAGGGGACACGGGCACCCTCAGGGATGGCGTGTCCCCAGGGACAGTGGGGGGACAGCGGGGAGGGGACAGCCAGGTGGGGACACAATGGGGTCATCCAGGAGGTGACAGCAGGGAGGGGACAGCAGGGAGGTGACACCGTCGCACCTTGCTGGCACAGGTCCCCGTGGCGGCCCAGGGGACAGGCGCACAGGAACCCGCTGCCGGGCAGCACCTGGCAGGTGGCAGAGCCGTGGCACGGTGAGGGCTCGCATGGGTTCCGCTCCAGGGCACACGTGGGGCCTGCGGGCACAGGCAGCTGGCACCAACCCCCGCGCCCACGCTGGCCCCGCGGGCATCAACAACGACCCCAAAAACTCCCTCAGAGCCCCCCAGAGGGGTGAAAACCCCACCGTGCCCATCACTGTACCCCAAAAACCCCACAGTGCCACCCCAAATCCCAAAAACCCCACAGTGCCCATCCCAAACCCCAAAAACCCCGCAGTACCCACCCAGTACCCAACAAACCCCCACAATGCCCACCCCAAACCACAAACCCCCACAATGCCCACCCCAACGCCCGCGGTGCCCGCCCCGTACCCGCGTATGCCTCGGGGCACTGGCACTGGAAGGCGTCGGCGTCCCGGGGCTGGCAGGTGCCCCCGTGGTGGCAGGGGTTGGGCTGGCACGGCTCGGTGCCGCACTCGCCCACGGCGCTGCCGTAGAGGACGTCGGCGGCGCCGGGGCGCAGCTCGTGCCCGCGGTTGTTGATGCTCAGTGCCCGCACGCAGCCCCGCAGCCCGCCCGCGACGCCCGTGCGCTCGAACGCCCTGGGGACAGCGCGACAGGCTGGCACCATGGCAGGGTGACAGGGTGCCACGGTGCCAGTCATGGGGCAGTGCCACCCTTACAGGGCCACATGCACAGGGGCAGGGCATGCTCATGGGGCAGTGCCACCCTCATGGGGACAGTGACACCCTCATGGGGACAGTGCCACCCCTACAGTGCCACCTTTGCAGGGGCAGTGCCACCCCCTCCCGGTCCCCGTGCCCCCTCTCTGTCCCCGTGCCACACTCACAGCGCCCTGTGCTCCTCGGGCACTCCCCCGATGAACAGCTCGGTGTCCAGGTTGAGCCCGTCGGTGCCCGGGGGGCTGTGCCCGCTCACGGGGGGCTCCCCGTCCACGGCCAACGTGCCCGTGCGCCGGTTGCGTGTCACCAGCAGCCGGTGCCAGCGGCCCGGCTCCACCGGCACGCGGCTGGTGACGGTGCCCGTGCCGGAGCCCGTGTCGAACCTGCGGGGAGCTGCCCTCAGTCAGTGACCCCGAGGTGCCAGCCAGGCAGTGCCAGGCGGGATTGTGACCATCTGGGGAGCTTCTCCCTCCTTGTCTCCCTCGCTCCTTCCTCCTCTCTCTCCTCTTCCTCACTCCTTCCTCCTCTCCCTCCTTCTCTCCTTCGGTTCTTCACTCCTTTTTCCACTCCCTCCTTCTCTCCCTCCTCTCCCTCCCTCTCTCCTTCTTCCCCTTCCTCCTCTCCCTCTTGGGATGCCAATTCCCATCCTGGGGCCCACCCGAGCTCCAGCTCCCTCAGCATTCCAACCACAGCCCCCCAAATAAAGAATAAATCCCGATTTTTGTCCACTTCGAGGCCTTCTAGGATGTGAATGGCCATCCTGGGGCTCACCTGAGCTCAGTATCCCACCCACACCCCCCCAGAAATGAAAAAGTCCCGATTTTTTCCCTCTGGGCCCCGAGGAGGCGTCGCCTGCCACGCTCACCGCAGCTGCACGAGGCCGCCGCGCAGCGCCAGCGCGATGAAGTCCTTGCCGTGGCGCTGGGCGTTGTAGAGCAGCAGCCCCGCGGGCTCCAGCGCGCGGAACTCCAGCGCCACGCGCAGCGTGTGGTACGCCCGCAGCGTCCGCAGCGCCAGCACCGAGCCGCCCCCGAAACGCGGCACGAACGGCACCGCGGCTGCGGGGGAAACGGGGGAGAAACGGGGGAGAAACGGGGGAGAAACGGGGGGGAAACGGGGGGGAAACGGGGGGGAAACGGGGGGGAAACGGGGGGGAAACGGGGGGGAAACGGGGGGGAAACGGGGGGGAAAATGGAAAGAAATGGGGAAGAAAGGGGGAAGGGATGGGGGAGAAATGGGGGAAGAATGGGGGTGAAATGGGGGAAAGAATGGGGGAATGGGGGAGAAATGGGGGAAAGAATGGGGGGAAATAGGGGGAGTAATGGGGGAAAGAATGGCGGGAAATGGGGGGAGAACGGGGGAAAAGACGGGGAAGAAAGGGGGAAGAGATGGGGGGAAACAGGAGAGAAACAGGAGAAATGGGGGAGAAATTGGAAGAAATGGGGGGAAAATGGGGGGGAATATGGGGGAAAGAATGGGGGGATGGGGGAGAAAGGGGGGGATTACTGATTTATTTTTTTAGCAGTTTACTGATATTTTTTTAGCAGTTGACTGATTTTTTTTTGTACCAGTTTGGTGATTTTTTTTAGCAGTTTAGCGCTTTTTCAGCTCTTTCCCATCTCTGAACGTGCCCAAATCCCACCTGGCACTGGGGTGGCAGTGCCCCCTACCCCCTCCATAGGGTTACACCCATTTTTAGGCTCCCAAACGGGGATTTTTGGCAGCAGCACTTACATTTCTCGCAGGTGGTGCCCGCCGTGCCCGCGGGGCAGCTGCAGGTGAAGCCGTGCCCGTCGTCCCGGCAGGTGCCGCCGTGCCGGCAGGGCTGTGATGCACAGGGCGGCGGGGCGGGCGCCGTGCCCGGCGGCAGCGCGGTGGGCGGCGCGCCGCGGCTGCTGCCGGCGGTGCCCGCGGGGCTCCTGGCGGTGCCGGTGGTGCCCACGGGCTCACCAGGGCTGCCCACGGTGCCCACGGGATGACCAGGGTGGCCGGCGGTGCCTGCAGTGCCCACGGGCTGGCCAGGGCTGCCCACGGGCTGGCCCAGCGCCGCGGTGGCCGCGGGCACCCTGCGGGCGCTGCCCGGTGCTGCGGTGGTGCCCGTGGTGGTGGTGACGGTGGTGGTGACAAGCCGGGGAAGCCAGTCTGGAACACAGTGGGGATTTGGGGTCAGCTGGGGGATTTGGGGTTTGGGGTCAGCTGGGGGATTTGGGGTCAGCTGGGGCTGGAGGTTTGGGGTTACCTGGGTTTGGGATTAGCTGGGTTTGGGGTTGGGGTCAGGTGTGGGTTCGCTTTAGGGTTAGGTGTGAGTTAGGTTTAGGGTCAGGTGTGGGTTAGGTTTAGGTTCAGCTTTAGCATCAGGTTTACGGTCAGGTATGGATTAGCTTTAGGGTTAGCTATGGGCTGGTTTTAGGGTTTGGGTTGGAGTCAGGTGTGGGTTATGAGAGAAGCACCCGCTGTGGTCACGGAGGAAGAATTTGCAGTCTAAGAGGTCTCAAGCAGATACAATTTGGGGTTTTTTTTGGGATATGGCAGCGGGGCCATGAAAAGCAGACACAATTTGGGGTTGTTTTGGGGATATGGCAGCGGGGCCATGCAAAGCAGACACAATTTGGGGTTGTTTTGGGATATGGCAGTGGGGCCGTGCCTGTGCCAGGCCTCAAAACAGACACAAGCTGGGGTTTCCTACTTTACCCAGAGCGTGGGGAGCCCCTGGAATGGATTTCCCAGACCCCTGGAAGTGCCCAATCCCCCTCTGGAAAATCCCTGCCCACCTCCAGACCCCTTCTAGGTCCCTCCCATCCCCAAATTCCAGCATTGCTCCGGACCCACCCGGGAAGTTCTGAAGGGTTGGCCAAGAGCAGCAGAGCCCTGCTGGCATTCTGCCCCCCAGCCCAAAAATCCATGGGTTTGGGGCTCACCAAAATCCATGAATTTGATGTGCTCCTGCTGGGGCTTCTTCACCAGGATGGTTTTTCTCCTGGCCGCTCGGAGCTGCTTCAGCAGAGCCCCCTGGATGTCGGCGGCCGTGTAGGACGTGGCTGGGGCAGGAGGGAAGCAGCAGTGAGGATTCCAACAGGAATTCCCTTCCCAAATCCCTCCTTTTCCAAGGAAATAATCCTTCTTTCCCAGGGAAAATAATCCTCCTTTCCCAGGGAAAATAATCCTCCTTTCCCAAGGAAGTTATCCTTTCCAAGAAAAATAATCATCTTTTACAAGAAAAATAATCTTCCTTTCCAAGAAAAATAATTCTCCTTTCCAAGGAAAAGAATCTTACTTTTCCAAGGAAAATAACTCTCCTTTCCCAAGGAAAATAATCCTTCCATTCCAAAGGAAAATAAACATCCATTCCCAAGGAAAAGAACCCTTCCTTCCCAAGGAAATTATCTGCCTGTCCAAGGAAAATAGTCTTTCCTTTCCCAAGGAAAATAAACTTCCATTCCCAAGGAAAATAATCCTCCTTTCCCAAGGAAAATAAGTCTCATTTCCCAAGGAAAAAAAAATTCCTTTCCCATGGAAATCCTTCTCAGCTGCGCTCACATGGAAATTCTGCAGGATCAAAGTCCCAACCCCTCTGAATTTTGGAATGGCTCTTTCCTCCTCCTCCTACCCAGGAATTCCCAGCCAGAATTCCTGCTGGGAATGCCCGGGGAATCTGGCCCTACCTGGGTCGAAGTGAGCCTCCACGATGACCCTGACAGCGCTGCTCTGGCCCAGGTCCCGCACGCGGACGCTCCGGAAATCCCTCCTGACCTCGGAGCCTCGGAACAGCTCGTCCAGCTTGGGGGAGGAAAGGGTTAACGGGAGATCCGGGCACAGGATCCCACCAGGGAGAGATCCAGGCTGGGATGCCAGGGAAGGATCTAGGCTGGAATTTGCTGCCCGGCCTTGGCACGGTGACAGGGAGGGGACAGGGATGGGCTGGGACAACTCCAGGGATTTAGGGCCAGGGGAAGAATGGGATCCATAAAGTGGGACAGGGATGGGCTGGGACAATTCCAGGATCCGTAAACAATTCCAGCTGTTCTTTAGGGCCAGGGGAAGAACAGGATCCATAAAAGACTGGGACAGGGAACCATTGTCCATTTGTGACCATTTGGCCATGACCATGGTGGATCCATGGAGGGGATCCCTTTAACAAACCCCAGCTTTGTCCTTTACCCTGCCCGGGGCACTCTCGGGGCACGGGCAGGGGCGCCTCATGCCAGGTGCCCCCGAGGGGCGCGCAGCTCACCGCGCTCTCGATGCTCCGCGCCGTCTCCCCGAAGAGCTCGGATTTGGGGTCGGCCATCTCCGGGGTGTAGAACAGCTCCTGGCCCTCCACCTCCTCCAGGATCAGCACTCCTTGGAACACTTTGGTGGCTGGGGAGGGAGGAACACAAGACAAGGCTTGAGCGGGGCAGGGGTGGCGAGGGAGCACCGGAGCCCCTGGGCAGAGGGGGATGGTGGCGTGGGGGTAGTGCCAGTGCCGGGTTAGTCGGGATGGGACGGGCGCAGCCATGGAGGATTAGTGCTGGAGCGGATGGCAAGGACCAGGCTGGAGATGGCAGCTTTTACCAGACGGGTTCCTGCGAGCTCCGGCGCGGAGAGCAGCCCCCCTGCACCGCTGGGTGACAAGAGAGACACATTAGAGAGGGCACGGCACGGGGCACCCGCGGGCACGGCGGGGCCGGGGGGACGCCTGGCACCGGGCAACCGCAGCCCTGCCAGACCCGCCGGGAGCTGCACCAGGAGTGCAGGGCTGGAGCCTGCCCTGGGATGCCGAGGCTGGAGAGATCCTGCGGTGGGAGCCTCTCAGGAGGCTCCTTTTCCTTTGCCTTTTCCCTTTTCCTTTACCTTTTCCCTTCCCTTTTCCCTTTTCCTTCTCCCTTTTCCATTTCATTTTCTTTTCCCTTCTCCTTTTTCCCTTTTCCTTCTCCCTTTTCATTTTCTTTTCCCTTCTCCTTTTTCCCTTTTCCTTTCCCTTTTCCCTTTTCATTTCCCTTCTCCTTTCTCTCTCCCATTCCGGTTTCTTTTTTCCCTCTCTTTTTCCCTTTCCCCTTTCCCTCTCTCTTTCTCTTTTCGCTTTCCCCTTTCCCTTTTCTTTTTCCTTTCTCTCTCCTGTTCAGTTTTCCTTTTCCTGTGTCCTCCCACCCTGAGAGATCCCAAATTCCTGACCTCAAAGCTTCCCAAACTAGCCCCAAACCCACCTGGGGTGTTCTGTGTCATCCTCCCTGTGGGATCCCAAACTCCTGACCCCACAGTGCCCCAGCCCCACACCCCCGGGGCAGTGCCCCATGCCCTCCCAGCCCCACACCCACCGGGGCAGTTGCTGCCGTCGCCGTCAGCCGCCGCGGTTCTGCCGTCGGAGCAGCAGCCCAGGGCGCTGTTGTAGCACGTGGCCCTCTCGATGGCAGCCGTGGGTGGCACCTGGGCCTCATCCGGCTCCTCCTCACCTGGGGACAGCCGGGGACAGACAGCGGTGACACCGCTGTGTCACTGGGGACAGCCAGGAAACAGACAGCGGTGACACTGCTGTGTGTCACCCGCTCCAGGGGACAGCCAGCAGTGACACCGCTGCATGCCACCCACTCTGCTTGTGGTGACACTCAGGGTGGGGGGGCTGAAACTGCCAGGGGACACTCAGTGTCCTGGGGACACCCAGTGGCACTGCCCAGGGGACACTCAGTGCCCTGGGGACACTCAGTGCCCTGGGGACACCCAGTGGCACTGCCCAGGGGACACTCGGTGCCCTGGGGACACTCAGGGTGGCACGCAGAGCCCGGGGTGGCACTCACCAGCTGATCCTGCCCCGCTGGCCTCCTGGTCACCGCTGGTGCCCATGTCCAGGTCCCCGCTGCCCTCGGCGCTGCCGGACTCGCCGGAGCCGGGCTGGCTGGAGCCAGGCTGGCCGGTGGCCGCGGGCACGGGCGCGGTGGCCAGCGGGCGGGCGGTGGCTCTGTGCGCCCCGTGGGTGACCCAGGGCGTGGTGGCCGGCCTGGCCGTCGTGGTCACGTGCCTCGTGGTGGGGTGGCCGCGCTCCGTGGGCTGGGCTGGCGGTGGTGAGCCGGTGGCCACCGGGGCCCGCGGGGTGGCCCGAGGGGGCGCGGGCAGCAGCAGCCGGTCCGGGGCCAGCGTGGGCAGCGGCGTGGGGGGCACCGGGGGGCTCGAGGGGGTGACGGGCTCTGGGGAGCAGAAGAGGGCACAGCTGAGGAGGGTGGCACCGGGAGGGTGACAAAGAGAGGGGACAGAGGGGTGACAGAGCCCAAGGAGGGGTGACAGGGACCAGGGAGGGGTGACAGGGACCAGGGAGGGGTGACAGGGGATGTCCCAGGGGTGGCAGGGCCAGCCTCGGGACACGGGGCCGGCACTGCCCTAGTGACACTGAGTGGCACTGCCAGGGGTGGCACTCACCATGGCACTGCCCCACGTGCTTGACTGTGATGTGCTGGCCCTGCCTGCAGGCGATGGTCCGCAGCTGGCACTGGTCCCCGTAGGTGACACCGTCAGAGCCACACACCTGGGGACACAGGGACAGCAGAGCTGCGCCTCGGGGCCCCTCCGGTGACACCTGAGCGCTGGCAGTGTTTTTGGGGGGCTCCTCTGGGGCACTGAGGCACCCAGGGGACATCTGTGACCTGTGTGTCCCCCCTCCCCGGGCTCTGTCCCCCCTCCCCAGGGTCTGTCACCCTCCCTGGTCCCTGTCCCCCCCGGGTGTCCCCAAACCTTGGTGGCGTTGCCCTCGGGGCACAGCGGGGACGGGCACTCGCAGTGGGCGCGGCCGTTCAGCTCCACGCACGAGGCTCCGAAATCGCAGCTCAGCTCCTGGCAGGAGCGGGGGGTCGAGGGGTCTGGGGGAGAGGGGGAGGCAGGGAAATGCCAGTTAGAAATCCCAGATAGGGAAATCCCAGGCAGGGAAATCAAAATCCCAGTCAGGGAAATCCCAGTTAGGCAGGGAAATCCCAGTCAGGCAGGAGCCAAAATCCCAAATAGACAGGAGCCAAAATCCCAAATAGATAGGAGCCAAAACCCCAAATAAACAGGCCCCAAAACCCCAAACAAGCAGAACCTAATACCCCAAATAAAGAAGCCCCAAAACCCCAAAGAAGAAGAACCTAAAATCCCAAATAAACACAACCCAAACTCCAAATAAAGCCCCCAAAACCCAGATAAACAAACCCCAAACCCGATATAAATAGGACCCAAAACCCCAATCCCCCAAATAAACAAGCCCCAAACCCCAAACAAAGCCCCAAACCCCAAACAAGCCCTAAACCCCAAACAAAGCCCCAAACCCCAAATAAACAAACCCCAAACAAGCCCCAAACCCCAAACAAAGCCCAGCCGAACCCCAACCCCATGGTGGGGCGCTCACCGGGCTGGCAGCCGGCGCTGCCCAGGCTGCTGCCCGCGGGGCACCGCGAGCACTTCATGCCCGAGATGCCCGGGCGGCACGAGCACAGCCCCGACATCTGCTCGCAGTCGTCCCGCACCGAGCCCACGGGGTCACAGCCGCATGCTGGGACAGGGCGGGGGAAACGCAGTTATGGGGGGGAAATGGGGAAAAATACAGTTATAGGGTGGGAAAGTGGGGAAAATGCAGTTATGGGGGGAAAATGCAGTTATGGGGGAAAGTGTAGTTATGGGGGGGGCAAATGGGAAAAAATACAGTTATAGGGTGGGAAAATGGGGAAAATGCAGTTCTGGGGGGGAAAAGGGTAAAAACCCCCCAGTTACAGGGTGGGAAAGGGGAAGGGGGGTGGTGATGTCCCAGCCCTGTCACTCAGGGAAGCGTCCCAGCCCTGCCCCACCCTCGGGCAGTGTCCCCTCGCTGTCCCCCAGGTGCCACTCACGCGTGCAGCCGCTGCGGCCGTCGGTGACGATGCCGCGGAAGTTCCAGAAGCCGGGCTCGCAGCGGTCGCAGCGCAGGCCGCCCACGCCGGGCTTGCAGGAGCACTGCCCCGAGCCCGGCTCACACGAGCCCCCGTACGAGCCGTGGGGGTTGCACTGGCACGAGCCTGAGGGTGGGGACAGCGGGGACACCCGTGTCACTGCGTGTCACCCAGTGCCACCAGCTGCTCCCCTCCATCAGCCCCGGGGCTTGCAGCAGCACTGGCACGAGCCCAAGGGGACACCCGTGTCACCGCTGTCACCCGGTGCCACCAGCCGCTCCCCAGCCTGTCACCAACAGCTCCTCTCCCATTAACATCAAATGGGGAGGAAACAACTAGAGGGTGATTATTAATTCATTAACGAGCAGCCAAAGATTGACAGCCAGGTGCTGTCCTTGTCCCAGGGAAAGGGGACACAGGGGACAAAAAAGGACACAAGGGGACACAGAGGGACACAGAGGGGACAGGAAGGGGACACCCATGTCACACTGTCACCCGTGTGTCACCAGCTGCTCCTCTCCCATCAAAATCAAAGGGGGAGGAAGCAATTAGAGGGTGATTATTAATTCATTAACGAGCAGCTCGATGGAGGGAAGATAGCTAGGTATTGTCCTTGTCCCAGGGAAAGGGACACAGGGGGACATAAAGGGACACAGGGGGACATAAAGGAACACAGAGGGACATGAGGGACACAGGGGGACATTATCCAGCTGTTTTGCCCCCGTTATCCATCTAGGTTTTTTCCCCATTATCCAGCTGTTTTTCCCCTACAATCCAGCTGTTCTTTCCCCCCATAATCCAGTTGATCTTTTCCCCATAATCCAGCTGGTTTTCCCCCATAATCCACCTGTTTTCCCCCCATTATCCAGCTGTTTTATCCAGCTGTTTTTCCCCATTATCCAGCTGTTTTCCCCCCATAATCCAGCCCCCCTGCTCAGCAGCCAGGCATGATCCCACCCTGGAGCTGTCTCTCCACGGGTTGATGTTTGCCCATCAAGCAGCCACAGCCTCAGCTGTTGAGAGCTTTTCAAAATGCTCCTGCTGGCTCGGGTAATTAGTGAATAAATATTAATGAGCCCCTGGCCAGCTCAGCTTCCTGCACAGGGGTCACCCAGCTGCCACTGGGCCTCTGGAAGGTGACAGGTTTCCCTCCACGGAATATTCCTGTCACCCAGGCAGGAGGAAACCCCCGAGCCCAGCAAGGGGTTGAAGGCACCGAGGACCTGGAGGCGCCTCTGGGGACACCCAAAAGACCCAAAGTGTCTCCTCCACCCCCCTGCCCTCCTGCATTCCCGAGGGATCGAGGCCTGGGAGCTGGCTCAGGGTTTTTGGAAGGACGGGAGGATCACCAGCAGTGGGAGGCTGTGGGGCAGGTGGGGTCAGTCCCTTCTCCCAGGGGACAAGGGACAGGAGCAGAGGAAAAGCTGCACCAGGGGAGCTTCAGGTTGGATATTTGGGAAGATTTGTTCACAATAAGAGTGGTCAGGTTTGGAATGGGCTGCCCAGGGAAGCAATAGAATCACCATCCCTGGGAAAGCTCAAACCCTGCACATGTGGCATTTGGGGACAGGATTCTGCGGTGACCAACTCAGGAGGGCTTTTCCAGCCTGAACATCGCCCTGTCCCACAGCTGAGGAGCTCCCAGCTCCACCTCCCGGGGACAGGACCCCAAACCCAGCCTCCCGGGGCCCCTCGGTGTCCCCGCCGTGGCACTCACTGGGACAGCCGGCGGCTCCCACGCCCAGCGCCGCGGTGACGTTGTCGGGGCAGCAGCCGTAGACGCTCTGGCTGCAGTGCACGGCCAGCAGGGGTGGTGGGGTGGTGGCCAGGGCTGCGGGGAGGGGACACAACAGTCACGGTGGCACCCGGGATCCGGCAGCGTTCCCAGAAATCCCCCTGGAGATGCTGGGAACTGGAGGTGAGGGCCTGGCCAGGGGACAGCAGGGCACGGGGACAGGGGTGTGGGGCCTGAGAGCAATTCCTGCTTATTCCCAGGGAAAGGACACCAGGGACACACCCAGCAGGACGGCGTGACCTCCCTGAGGGGCCACACCCAGGGCCACACCCAAGGACACACCCAGGGACACACCCAGCGTGGCCTGGCCCGCCCTGAGGGGACTCACCCCGACAGGCTCCCTGGCTGGTGACAAAGAGCTCCTGGCGTTTCTCGCACCGCGTCTTCTTCAGCTGGCACTCGTTGGCGTAGGTGACACCGTCAGAGCCGCACACCTGCCCATGGGGCGAGGGGACAGCGAGGGGACAGCTCAGGGACAGTGGGGACAGCTCGGGGACAGCTCAGGGACAGTGGGGACAGCTCAGAGACAGTGGGGACAGCTCAGGGACAGTGGGGACAGTGGGCACAGCTCGGGGACAGCTCGGGCTGTGCCAGCCGTGCAGGGCACACCAGCAGGAGGACAGGGCTCACCGGGGCGCGGGGCGCAGCCGCGCAGGTGAAGTCGCACACACAGGGCTCGTCCTCGGCGTCCTCGTCCCACCAGCCCCCGAAGTGCCGGCACCGTTCCTGCTCGCACTCGCCGCCGTCCCCCGAGCCCGAGCCCCCCGAGCCGCACTCTGGGGACAGGCAGGGAAACTGGGCTGGGCATTTTCCATTCAGTCACAGAAAAAGAGAAAGATTTCTGCCAGGCTAGGCCTGGGAAAGGTCCAGGAGGAATGGAAACCATTGATTATGTCGCTTTCCTGTCGCAGGGACATGCTTCTCTCCCTCAGCATTTTTCATAGAGAAGCACAGAGAGAAATGAAAGAGAAAACAATTTCTATTTCTGCTCCTTGTTTTTCCCACGTGGAATGTGTTTGGAGAATTGTTTACCTGGGGTGAGTGCTTGGTCGGATTCTGGTGAGGATTATTTGAATCTGGTGGCCAATCCAACCTACCTGGGGCTGGACTCTCAGAGAGGGCCGCGAGTTGGGAGTGTTAGATATGGGAGATAGAACAAGTAGGTTTGTAGTTTTAGTATCTCCTCTAAATAGTATATTAATGTGTTATAGTATAGTTATAACAAAATATCATTCAGCCTCCCGAACTGGAGTCAGGCACCATGATTTCTTTGCCTGCATTTACAATACTTTCCGTTCACATTGTTCATAGATGTGTTCTGCCACACTGACCTAAGCCCAGTGCACCAACCAGGTGAAATCTTTTTACTTTAAAACCAATGGAACGAACGTTCACAATGTTCTCCAGAAACCTAAATCCCAGTTATACAGGAATAAAAATCCCAAATAAACAGAACCCAAAATCCCAGCTAAACAGGAACAAAAATCCCAGTTATACAGGAACTAAATCCCAGTTGTGCAGAACCCAAAATCCCAAAGAAACAGAAATCAAAATCCCAGTTATAGAGGAACAAAAATCCCAGTTATTCAGAAACCTAAATCCCAACTGTGCAGGATCCAAAATCCCAGTTATGCAGGACCCAAAATCCCAAATAAACCGAAACCAAAACACCAGTTCCACAGGAACCTAAATCCCAGTTAAACAGGAACCTAAATCCCAATTGTGCAAGACCCTAAATCCCACATAATCACCCCAAATCATGCACAGGGAGCTGGTGGGTGACATGGAGCTGGGGCAGGGCAGGGATTTAGGGCTGGGATTTGGGGTTGGGAGAGGACTGAAAGCCCTGAGTTGTGCAGGATGAGCTGCAGCAGCAGCAGCAGAGACGTGGCTGATTTCAAAGGCTGCTGGAAGGGGAACAGGGAAGGGGGAAGGGGACCTGGCCCTTTTCATGGCGTGATCAAAGGCTGGGCTCTGGCATCACACACAGAATTATTCAGGCTCTGCCTGAGGAGGGACAGCAACCTGAAATCCCCCGAGCAGGGCTGTGATCAAACACCCTGCTCTGCTTTTCCCTCTCTGACATCCTCCACCCCGTGTGCCAGGCAAGCTCAGCTCCCTCCCCGTGCCAGCAGAATCCTCAGCTTCCCCTGAGTGGGAAAACTCGGTGGGTTCTTTATTTTTAGGCTCACCAAAAAAGGTAGAACCGACCCCAAAACCTTCCCTGGAGCTCTGCGGAGGCAACAGAGCTGTGGGATGGGCTGGGATGGAAGGGAACTTAAAAATCCTCCAGTCCCAAATCCCTGCCAGGGGCCAGGGGTGGCACTGGAGAGGGAAAATTTACATTGGATGAAGAGACAGGACAAGGGGGGTGGGCTTCAAACTGAAAATCAATGAATTTAGGTGGGAAATAGGGAAAAAAGAGGGAAAATTTGTCACAGGATGCAGACAAAGGACAAGGGAGATTGGCTTCAGACTGAAAACCAAGAAATTTATGTGAGATATGGGGGGAAAAGGGAAAATTTATATTGGATGCAGACACAGGACAAGGGAAAATGGCTTCAAACTAAAAACTGGGAAGTTTAGGTGGGATATGAGGAAAAAATTCCTCCCTGTGAGGGTGGGGAGGCCCTGGCACAGGGTGTCCAGACCTCTGGAGGTGCCCAAAGTAGTTTGGATAGAATTGGAAAAAACTGGGATAGAGGAATGGGGGTTGGAGTTAGAAGGTGGCTGGCACAGGACTGGGGGGGCTGGGGGTGCTTTGGGTCACGGGGGCAGTGAGGGAAGCGTGGCTGGTGCAGGGCCTGATGCTCTGGGGGGTTTTGGGGTCTCACAGGGCACAGGGGAAGTGTGACTGGTGCAGGGCCTGATGCTCTGGGGGGTTTTGGGGTCTCACAGGGCACAGGGGAAGTGTGACTGGTGCAGGGCCTGATGCTCTGGGGGGTTTTGGGGTCTCACAGGGCACAGGGGAAGTGTGACTGGTGCAGGTCCTGATGCTCTGGGGGGTTTTGGGGTCTCACAAGGCAAACAAGGGAAGTCCCCTGGCTCCCTTTCCCCACCCCCTGGAGAAGCAGACCACCCTACCGTCCTCGCAGGGTCCCGTCCTGGCCACCTGGATGCTCTTTTGCAGCTGGCAGGAGGCCACCTGCAGCTGGCAGGGGCTGGGGTAGGTGACGCCGTCGGAGCCGCAGACCGGGGCCGGGGGCTGGCGCTCGCAGCGCGGGCACAGGCACTGCCCGCCCTCGCAGCGCCCGCCGAAGGAGCACAGCGAGCTGCCACACGGCTCTGGGGACAGGGAGGGACACGTCAGCCACGCCACGCCGCCAGGGCTCTGTCACAGAGCTGGGGGCGTTAGCGTTGTTAATTAATTTGTTATTCCTTATTTAATCCCTGCAACCTGGGTGCCCACCCTGAGTGTTTTGGACTCCCAGCGGCTCTTTCTGGAGGGAAAAAAATCCCATTTAATCGTTTCTTCTGGGAGGCAGCTGCCACCTCCACCTCACCCGTCCTCCCCCCAGCTCCGGGGGAATCTCAGCCCCAGCTGGACAGGTTTGTAGGGGCTCAATCGGCACTGCAGCTTTTGTCCTAAGCAGGGCTTTTAATTCATTAAGAAATCAGCCCAGCCAGGCTGGGGAGTGGGGAGGAAAGCTGGAACAAAGAGGAATTGACCCCAGGGGATGGAGGGGAGGGAGAGGATCAGACACAGCTCTGCTCTCACTTCTGCTGCTGTCTGTTAACACGTTTTTAGCCTAATTCCTGCCTTGGCCCCGTGGACATTAATCCAATTTCTCTGCTTGGCCCAGACAAATAACACGAGGGGGCTCTTCCAGCGATGGGGAAACCAAACCCAAGCTGCTGGAGGGGCTGGAAATATCCAATTCCCGCGGGCTAAAAGGGAAAATCGCTCGGGCAGGGCGTGCGAGCCACAATCCCCGCGGAGCAGCAGCAGGAGCAGCAGCAGGAGCGGGTGGCACGGGCCGGGGGCACACGGGGGACAGTGGCACACTCACTGCAGGGGCCCTGGGCTGCCACCAGGATGTTTTCCTGCTGGGTGCAGGCGCGGACGTGCAGCTCGCACTCGCTGCCGTAGGTGTTGCCGTCGCTGCCGCAGACGGGCTGTGCCGAGGGCACGCACTCGGTGGGGCACACGCAGCGCCCCGTCTCCGCCTCGCAGATGGCACCGAAGCGGCACTTCCCGCAGCGCTCTGCCAGCAAGGCCAAAACTCGGTCAGAACGGCTCTGGGGGCACTGCTGGCTGCCCTGGGGCTGCCCCCTCCTCAAACACAAGCTCGCTCTTGGGGGCGGCTCCTGCACCCCAAACCGGGGCCGAGGCGGCCACAGCGCCGCTGGCAGCCTCCCCACTTGTCTGTTATTGAATATCGATTATTAGGGAATGGTTAAATAGAGGCTCGGCAAGGTGAAGGCCTTGTGGAGCCCCTGAAGGGGGGAAATGATGCCTCAGGTTTTGGCTTTTCTATTTTTCAGATTCTCTACTGATACCTCAGGTTTTGGCTTTCAGATTCTGTACTGATACCTCAGGTTTTGGCTTTTGTATTTTTCAGATTCTGTGCTGATACCTCAGGTTTTGGCTTTTCAGTTTTACAGATTCTCTACTGATGCCTCAGGTTTTGGCTTTTCTATTTATCATATTCTGTACTGATGCCTCAGGTTTTGGCTTTTCTATTTATCAGATTCTCTACTGATACCTCAGGATTTAGTTTTTCTATTTATCAGATTCTCTACTGATGCCTCAGGTTTTGGCTTTTCTATTTATCAGATTCCCTACTGATACCTCAGGGCTTTTTTTCTTTTCTATTTATTATATTCTGTACTGATACCTCACATTTTAGCTTCTCAATTTTTCAGATTCCGTGCTGCTTTTGTGTGTGGATCTGAGCTTCACATTAAGGTTCACATTAGTTGGTTTTTTTTTTTTCTGGGGGCACAGAAAAACCTTGATTTTGTACAAAAATCCCCCTCCAGCAGCTCTCCCTCCTGCAGGAGCCAGCAGCAAGCAGCTCCCCTGGCTCCTGGGGTTTCTCTGCTCCATCTCTGCTCCAACACCTCCCTTCCCTCCTGCCATCACTGCAGCAGGAATTTGGCTCCGAGGTGCTTTTCCTGCTTTTCTCCTGCTCACGGCAGCTGCTGCCTTGGCATGGGGGAGGAGGAGGCACCAACCCCCTGCTCCGCTCCTGCTGCTGGCCTGGAGGTTTTTATCCTGGGCTGGAGGTTTTTATTCTGGTCTGGAGGTTTTTATCCCAGCCTGGTGGTTTTTATCCTGGCCTGGAGGTTTTTATTCTGGTCTGGAGGTTTTTATTCTGGCCTGGTGGTTTTTATCCTGGCCTGGTGGTTTTTATCCTGGCCTGGAGGGTTTTGTTCTGTTTTTTATCCTGGCCTGGAGGTTTTTTTTCTGGTTTTTATCCTGGCCTGGTGGTTTTTATCCCAGCCTGGAGGTTTTAATCCCAGCCTGGAGGTTTTTATCCTGGCCTGGAGGTTTTTATTTCTGGTTTTTATCCTGGCCTGGTGGTTTTTATCCCAGCCTGGAGGTTTTTATCCCGGGCTGGAGGTTTTTATCCTGGCCTGGAGGTTTTTATCCTGGCCTGGAGGTTTTTATCCTGGTTTTTATCATGGCCTTTATCCTGGCCTGGAGGTTTTTATTTTAACAACAAAGTGATTCCCCTGCCCAAATCTCACCACAGGCTCCTTTGTCCTTTACCCTGGTCTTTTTTTTTTTGAGGACAAAGGCCAACAACAACAACAAAACAAAAAACAACCTCCAGCCAAATCCCACATCAGGGCCCCTTGTCCTTCACCCTGATGTCCCTTTGAGGACACAACCAACACCCCCAACATCCCCCCAGCCCTGGCCGTGTCTCACCGCAGGGCCCCCGGTGCCGGACGCCGATGTCCCTTTGAGGACACCCCAAACACCCCCAGCACAGTCCCATCCCACATCTCACCGCAGAGCCTCTTGTCCTCCACCCTGATGTCCCTTTGAGGACACCCCAAACACCCCCAGCACAATTCCATCCCAAATCCCACATCAGGGCCCCTTGTCCTTCACCCTGATGTCCCTTGAAGGCCACCCCAAACACCCCCAGCCCTGTCCCATGCCAATCTCACCGCAGGGCCCCTTGTCCTTCACCCTGATGTCCCTTTGAGGACACAGCCACCCCCAAACACCCCCAGCCCTGTCCCATGCCACTCTCACCGCAGGGCCCGCGGTGCCGGAGGCCGATGTCCCTCTGCAGCAGGCAGGCCATGGCGTGCAGCTCGCAGGGGCTGCCGTAGGTGCGCTGGTCGGTGCCGCAGACGGGGTCGTAGCGGCCCTGGCACTGCTGCTGGCACTCGCACACGGCCGCCTGGTTCTTCACCACGCACGTGGCCCCGAAGGAGCACTCCACGCTCAGGCAGGGGCTGGGCGCGCCCAGGTCTGTGAAGGGCACAGGAGAGGCGCGGGTGGCTCGTGCGCCCCGAGCTGCCGGGCTCTGTCCCCTCCGTGCCCGGCCCCGCGCGTGGCACGGCTGAGGGATGGGCACGGGGACAGGAACGGGATTGCCACCTCGCCCTGACCAGAAACACCAGCAGAGCCTCGCACACAGCTCCCACAGGATGGGAGGGCTCCTTTCCCTGGGACCCACACCCAGGGGTCACACTGCTCCCCAAAAACCTCATGGGGCTCCCCAGGAATCACAGAATCACAAGGTTGGAAGAGACCTCCAAGATCATCAACTCCAACCTATGCCCTAACACCTCAACCAGACTACAGCACCAAGTCTTCAGCCATCTCCAGTCTTTTCTAAACACATCCAGAGGTGCTGATTCCACCACCTCCCTGGGAAGACAATTCCAGTACTTTATTATTCTTTTGATGAAAAATGTTTTCCTAATGTCCAACCTGTACCTTCCCTGACGTAGCTTGAGAGGAGCTGGCCAGGGAGGACACACTCGGTTCCACCACTGCTGATCCCCCATGCCATCCCCTCCCAGGGAGCTGCTGTGGGGCAGGATGGGGACATCCCTGTCCTCCCCTCAGCCCAGCCCTCGGGAAGGGACTCCAGGGCTGGGAATTCCCTGGCTGGAAGCAGCACTCCCTCTGGATCCACGAGCCCAGCGGTGACAAGGTGCCAGCTGAGAGCAGAGGCCGTGTCCCTCTCCCTGCTGGCAGGGACATCCCGGGGGCTCACCCCAGCTCCCACCCCAGCACCCAGGAGCCCAGGAGGGAGCGGCCGTGCTGCTGGGGACAGAGCCAGCACTGCCCAGTGACCCTGGGGGACAAGGGAAGGACAGCACGGCTGGACAGTGACAAGGACACAGGACAAGGACACAGGTGGGGACAGACAGTGCAGCCCGGAGGAGATGGAGCGACAGCAGAACAGCACAGCCCTGGCAGCGGGGCAGAGAGCTGGGCAAGGTCCCTGGGGAGCGCCCTGGGCACCTCCCCTGCCAGCAGCACGGCGGTGGCACCGCTGTGGCACCCCTGTGCCAGGCAGCCGGGGACAGCTGGGTCGGGATCTGCCTACCTGGAGCCAGCCTAGAGCCAGGGGCCTGCAAAGGACAGGGAGAGGGGACAGCTCGGGCACGAGGACACAGCTCTGTCCCCAGCTCAGGCACAAGGACACAACTCCAGCTCTGTCCCCAGCTTCCCAGCAGCTCTGAGCTCTTCCCAAGGACCAGGAATTGCTCCCTGGGGTGCTGCCCCTATGTTTGTTGCCCATTTTTGTCCCCTAACCACGTCCTCCCTGCACGGAGGCACCGATTCCAAGGGGAAATTCCCTCTGGACACTTTTCCTGGGCATGAAGCAAAGATAATCCCCAGGCTGAGATCCAGGCTCGGCCTCCTGCCTTGGGAATGGGAGTGGGAGCACAGGGAGGGACCAGCCTGGAGGAGAACCCAGCCCTGACACTCCCTGTCCATCTCCACTAGAGATGCAGCACCTGCAATTCCCAAATCCCAGCCTGGAACCTCTCACACGCAGCCCTGGGCACCTCCAGACATCCAAGGGGGGGTTGGCACCCATTTGGCTGTGGGTGGGAGCAACGAGGACCTGCTGAGCTGGGCTGTAATCCAGACCTGCTTTGGTTCCTGCAGGGAGGGAAACTGAGGCACATTTCCCTGGGAAACATTCCCAGGGAAGAGCCTGGGAGCTCTGAGGGGCTCCGAGGCCTGGGCTGGCACAGGGGACAAGCAGGACACACAGCACAGCTGGGGCACAGCTGGGGCAGCACAGCTGGACAGCACAGCTGGGGCAGCCCCGGGCAGGCAGAACTCCGGGCAGGAGCAGCTGGGGAAGCCAGAGGGGCGAGTTGGGAGCAGGAGGAGAGGGGGAAAATCAACCAGAGCAGTCCAGAGCGATGCAGCAGCCCGGGGGGCTGGCTGAGGAGTAGGGGGCTCCCAGCACCCACCTCTGCGCCCACTCTCCTTTGCCCGGGGGGCACAGCGAGCATCGGGCAAGAGCAATTTCCACTCCAGCAGGGTTTGGGGCCGGGGAGGGGACAAACCCCAGGGCAAGCTCTCCGTCCTGGGGGGCTCTCAGGCCAAACTAGAGAGGCGGGAGCAGTGAGAGGAGCCAGGAGAGCCCTGGCCACGGAGGAGGGGCAGAGGCGAGCTCCCAGCAGAGGTGTCCGGGCAGGGAGCAGGAGGGTGGTGCCAGGACAGAATTCCTTCCTCCACACAGGCAACACTGTAAAACACAAGACACAGACGAAACAGGAAAGAGAGAGAGAGAAAGAGAGGACAGCAGAGATAAGAGAAGACAGATGCAGCTACAGACACCTTCCTTCCTTCCCTCGTGGCCACGTCAGCCTCATCCCATCCCTTCTTTCTCAGCACCCAGAAGGATTAAAAAAAGAAATTTGATGGTGAATACTTATGAAGAATTATTATTTTACCAATTGAAGTTGCAAAACTTGTTTTTGAATGAAGACCTGAGCTGAGAACAAACAAGCAAGCTGTTAACAGCTAGCTACAAAATAGAAATTCCTGTGTGAAGTGTTTTTCAAATGTTCTTTCAATCACCTTCTTCTCCCTTAATGGCTTGGATGGTTTTGTTTGGCTTTGCCTCCCTGGCCTGGCTGCTGGAAAAGGCAGGAGAGCTCGGGGTTTGCCAGGCAGCTGCTTGTGAGGGGTTCAAACTCTGCCAAGCCCTTCCCCAGCTCTGCATCCCCACAGCTCCCAGGCACGGATCAGCTCCCAGCTCCGAGCTTTTCCTTTTCCTTCTCCTTGCCAGAGCCAACAGGGCTAAAAAAATCCACTCACACCTCCTGGGGATGGGCTCCAGGACTGCCTGGAGCTGCCACAGGCACTCTGCCATCCCAGCTTTGGCAGACAAAGCTGGTTTTGGTTCATCCCCCTGCTTTTCGCTCCTGTCCCACCAGGATGCAGCCCCTGGAAGCAGAAGTGTGCTGGGCAGGAGGGAGGGGAGCTGGAATCAAGGAGAGGGAGGTGGAGAGAGGAATGGCAGGTGCACCAGGACACATCCTACTGCTCCTGGCCTTTGTCCACGGAACACGGTGGGAATGATGCGCGGCTGACGCTCAGAGCAGCGTGAATTCCCTGCTCATCCCAGGAATTTGGGGATTTTCAGCCTCTCAAGGAGGCACAGGGGAGGGTTTGAAGAGAGCCCAGGGAGCCAGTGCTGCAAAAAATCCCCCCACCATGGGATCACAGCCCTTCCCACAGGGAAAACCTGGGGAACTGACTCCCAGGCATCTCCCCACCAGGAACACAGAGAAATGGGTGCTTAAAAATAACAGCTGTGATTATTCTGAGTGGGATGTTGGGAGCCTGGCAAATTCTTTTCCAGCAGCTGGGTCTGGCAGCCTCGAAAGCCTCCAGCAGGAGCACAAAGCCAACAAACACATCCCCAAGGCGGGATTCTGATTGCCAAGCACTTCAGGAGGCTCAGCCCAGCTGATACCTGATCAAACATCAGCTTGAAAGAGCAGGACGCAGCTCCAGAGGTGGGAAAACCCAAAGTGAGCCGAAATGAACAGTTTGTAACTCATCCAAATCAGCACAGGGGCTGCTTTAACCCCCTTCAGAACCTTACACCTGGGCACTCCCAGCATCCCAAGGATCCAAAGCCCCATCCTAGCCCATCCTCCTGAGAAAGGTCCATTGGGGAGCTTCTCCTAGAGACGAGACAAAGACACGGTGAGAGCTCCAGACAGGGCACAGAGGGAAGAGATCCCGGCGGAGAGAAGCAGGCAGGCATGGAAAGGAGAGAGTGGCAGGGGTTTGGAGACTGGCACTACCCTGGGAGAGCAATGGGTGGCATGGATGGAAGGGAGCGTGGTGGGGAGGAGAGAACGCGGCAGGAGGCGACAGACACTTGGTTCCAACACGGACGGGTGTCCCCGTGTCACACAGCAGACAGAGACAGGAGCAGGACAGCGAGACGGGCACACGGCAGGGCTGCTGGAGGGACAGGAACACGGGGCCAGGAAGGTTCCAGCTGCTGCACACCGGGCTCAGCCTCTGGCAGGCTCCGTGGGCATCCACCCGGGGCCTCTCAGCGTGCCACCCTGCCCGGAGCAGCTGGGAAGGGCCAAGGGGGGTGGGGGATCAGCCTTCCCACAGGAGAGCGGGGAGCAGCATCCCCGTGGGACAGGGGGGAGCAGCATCCCTGTGGGATAAGGGGGAGCAGCATCCCTGTGGGACAGCATCCCTGCAGGACAATTTGGGGACCGACACATCCATGAGGCAATCTGGGGACCAGCATCCCCATGGGACAGGAGGGATCAGCATCCCTACAGGACAGCATCCCCGTGGGACAACCTGGGGACCACCATCACTACATGACAACATCCCTGTGGGACAACTTGGGGACTGCCACTCCTGCAGGACAGGGAGGGACCACCATCCCTACAGGACAACTCGGGGACCACCATCACTCCCACAGGACAACTTGGGGACCATCATCCCTGCAGGACAGGAGGGATCAGCCTCCCCCCAGGAGAGCATCATGGTGGGATATCTTGGGGTCTGGCATCCCCACAGCAGAACCTGGGGACCACCATCACCCCCACGGGACAACCTGGGGCGCCACCTCCACGGGACAGCACCCCACAGCCCATCCCCACCGGCCCCGCCCATGGTGCTCACCGCAGGGCCCGCGGTGGCGCACGGCGATGCCGGCCTGCCGCAGGCACTCGGCGCGGCGCCGCTGGCAGTCGCTGCCGTAGGTGCGGCCGTCGCCGCCGCACAGGGGCCGGAAGGCGCCGTCGCAGGAGATGCGCTCGCAGGAGCAGCGCGCGGCCCCGCGCCGGTTCAGGCACACCGCGTTGAACCTGCACTCCTCCTTGCAGCGGTCTGCCGGGGCACAGGTTTGCATGTTAGATAATACATTCAATGGTAATAATAATAATAAAAATTAAAATAATAAAAATAAACAATACTACTACTACTACTAATAATAATAATAATAATTCAATACAAATACATTCAATAATCATAATAATAACAATATTCTTCAATAATAATTCAATATATAATGTAATAAATAAAAATATAATATATAAAATATAATATATATAAAACATAATATATATAAAATATAATATATATAAAACATAATACATATTATAGATAAAATATAATACATATAAAAATAATATCTATAATATATACTATATATAATATATATTAATATATTACATATTCATATATTAATATATTAAAGAATATATTAAAAATAACACATTGATATATTTAACAAAGAACTACTGCTATTTTAAAAACAATTCAGCCTCCAGGCTCTGTTCTGGGCAGCCCCTTTAGGTACTGAGGAGGAGGAGGAGAGGAGGAGATGATGGAGATGGTAGAGGAGGAGGAGATGATGGAGGAGGAGGAGGAGCAGGAGGAGGCCCGGCACTCACCCTGCTGCTGGCACTGCCCCGAGCGCACCTTCTGGATGTCGATGCCGCGGATGGCGCCGGCGCGGCCCATGGCGCACTCGCTCTCGTAGGTGACGCCGTCGTCGCCGCACACCGGGCCGCTGCCCGGGGGACAATCCTCGGGCCGGGGCAGCAGCTCCGCGCGCCGCGTCCGGGGGTTCACCCGGCACACGCGGCCCGGCTCGCTCGGCACGCCCTGGCACGGGTCTGGGGACAGGGGTGGCACCAGAGTCATTGCTGCCCTCCGGAACGGTCACTCCTGCCCAAATCGTGCTCTGCTCCCGTCCCTGTGTGGCCCCGAGAGCCCCCAAACCCTCCCTCGTGCCCCCAAACCCTCCCTCGTGCCCCTGGGAGTCACTCCTGCCCAAATCAGAACTTCCCAGGCTCTGTTCCTTCCCCTGTGCCCCCAAACCCTCCCCTGTGCCCCTGGGAGTCACTCCCTTCCCCTGTGCCCCCAAACCCTCCCCTGTGCCCCGGGTGCCCCTCCTGCCCCCCGGCACGGCCCCTCCTGCCCCGGTGACCCCCCCTCACCGCAGGGGCCGTCGAACTGCTTGGCGAGGTCCTGCTGCGCGTCGCAGGCGTGCTTCTGCAGGTGGCACAGGCTGCGGTAGTCGCGGCCGTCGCTGCCGCACACGGGGCTCTCGGCCACGCCGCCGCACGACGAGGGACACACGCACTTGGCCGCCTGGCCGTCAGGGGAGGGCACGCAGCTGCTGCCAAAGCTGCACGTCACCTCTGCACAGGGGTCCTTGGAGCCTGGGGACAGCAGGGGACACAGCACGGGTGAGAGCCTGGCACGGGATGTGCTCCTGTTCCTGCATTGGGAATAACCCCAAAAAATCCCCCAAATCCATCCCTCCAAATGGCCAATCCAGCAGCAATGGATAATTTTCCATCAGCTATACTGGATTCTTGGAGCAGGGACAGAGGAAGGGACATGGGTGACAGCATGGCATGGGATGTCCCATTCCTCTGGTGGAATAACCCCAATATATCCCAATATCCCCCAAATCCATCCCTCCAAAAGCCCCAGTCCAGCAGCAAAGAATAATTTTCCATCATTTTCCCATCATTTCTCCATCATTTCCCCAAAATTTCTGGACATGCCATGTCCCCACTCACCGCAGGGCCCCTTGCTGACCACCTTGATCCTCCTCTGCTGGTTGCACTGGGCCCTGTCCAGCTCGCACTCGTTGCTGTAGGTGGAGTGGTCGGAGCCGCAGACCGGGGCCACCACGGGGGCACAGGGACCCTTGCGGCACACGCACGAGGCCTGGCCCGGCTCCGTGGGGCTGCGCTCGCACACGGCCCCGAAGCCACAGAGCATCCCCCGGCACCCTGGGGACACGGGGGCAGCCGTGGGCATGGGGACACACAGGGGACATGGGGACATACACGGGACACGGGGACAGCCGTGGGCATGGGGACACACAAGGGACATGGGGACACATGGCCCCAAACCCTTCCCTAAAATCCAATTTCCCCCTTCCCTGGGACAGCTCCATGCAGCCCCTGAGGTGTTCCCTGCCCCAGTGCCCCCCACGAGTCAGAACCTCAGAACCAGAGCCTGACCTACAACAAAGGGAAAAGGGCTCTGAGATCAAACCCCTCATTTACACTTCAATTCCAGGGTTTGCCTCTGACTGCCTGGAGACTCAGGAGATAAATCCCATAAATCCCGGGAAATCAAAAGGAAAAGGATTCTCCTCCTCTCCTTCCTCAGCAAGAGATAAATCCCATAAATCCCGGGAAATCAAAAGGAAAAGGATTCTCCTCTCTCACCCCAGCACGAGATAAATATCATAAATCCCAGGAAATGAAAAGGAAAAGGATTCTCCTCCTCTCCCGACCGGGATCTAAAGGGATTCACCAATTTTCTGAAGAGCTGGGATGGAGCCTGAGCTGCTCCTTCCCTCTCTTTGGGGTTTTTTAAAATGCAGATGAGGTGTAAAAATTCCGGGGGAATGGGAATTGCAGGATTCAGCCCGAGGGAAGGGGCTGGGAGTGGGAATGGAGCTGCCTTAGACAGGAAGGGAAAAGGGAGGAAAAAAGGGGGGGGAAAGGGGTGGGAATAAAAGGAGAGGGAAAGGCCAGGGTGAAAAGGGTGCAGGGGAAAAAAGGCAGGAAAAAAGTACAGGGAAAAAAAGTGGAGAAAATAAGGGGAAAGCTGAGAAGAAAGGTAGGGAAAAAGGCAAGGGGAAAAAGGTGGAAAGGTGGGGGAAAAAATCCCTTGTGCCCAAAAGGGTCAGCAAGAACAGCAGGGCTGGGCATTAATTAACTGGGGGTGGGCATTAACAACTTGGGCAGGGCATTAATGAATTAGGGCTGGGCATTAATTACCTCGGGCTGAGGCAGGTGCCTGTTGCCATGGAGAGCGGCTGGGCTGGCGCTGGAGCCCAGCCCTGCTCATCAACATTCAAATTTTCAGCCCTGCCCCATCAATATTTGAATATTCAGCCTTGCTCATCAATATTCAAACATTCAGCCCTAGGCCATCAATATTCGAATATTCAGCCATCGTCCATCAATATTGAGCTGTGGCTGAATATTCCTGAGCTGCATATTCCAAACCTGAGCTCTGCTTTGCTGGGACCGTGACCCTGCCCAGCTTTGGGAGGGGAAGGGACCCCCCCCAAACCTCCAGCCTTACCCAACGCTTTGTGCCCCCCCGAGCAAACCTCAGCCAAATCCCAGCCCAAAGCCTCTCCTAAACCTGCCAAATGAAATGCGGATGAAAAATTAAACTCTACAATTTTAATAAAGATTTGTAGGGAATGGGTATATTTATTTATAGTGCATGTGGGGACTTATTGCCCTTTAATGGACATGTGTATTTGAGAACTTTTGATACTTTTTTATTATTTTTAGTAATTTCTATATGCATAGAATTTTATAATAGGTTAATGCATATTTATTCTGCTGATTTTACATTGTACTTAGAGCTAGTTATACTTGTACTTAGTTTTTGTTAGAAAGTACAGAAAGAACTCTTGGGTTACTCTGCCCTGTCCGTTTCAAGGTCAGAGGAGTCTTTCTTATCTCTTTTTTTTAGTGTGGAAATTTGTATTCTTTTCTTTAGCTGAGGTAGTTTTGCTAGGGGTAAACTAAACAGCATATTTATCAAGCTCAAAGTAGCACATTTTACTTAGATTTAAATAAATTTTTATCTTATTAAATTTTCATTCTGTCTCACAAGGGCGCCCAGAAGCACATTAAACCCAGCCTAGGCATGAGCAGAACACAACCAGCAAAACCCACCCCCAGCACCAGCAGGGACCCCCTCCCTGCGTCCCCTGTCCCCCAAATCACCTCCCGAACCCCCCGGGAGGAATTTCCCCTCCAGGAGCCTCGGCAGCCTCCCAGAATTTTGTGCTTTTCCAGGGATCTTTTGGAATTCTAGCATCTGGCTGGGCTGGGCTGCTCATATTTTGGAGCCCTGAGCAAGGAGTTCCGCCCACGAGGGGGTTTATTTTTCGCTCGAGATGCCAATTTTAGATTAATCACATTTTATCTCACACCCTTTTCTCCCCCACCCCCAGCAGGGGAAACAAAAATGATTTTTTTAAAAAAGCAACGAGCAGGTTATTAATTGGCTGCTGGGCTCTTATCTGTGCACGTGGAGCCTGCCAGCAAAGGCAGGGGTTTAAAGCCTGGTTTTAAAAAAGGAACAAAGCTCCTGTGATGGTTTTATCTCAGCCTGGGCTTTCCAGCAGCTCCTGGAGCTGATAAGAACCTCCAAAAAAAAAACCAAAAAAAACCCCAAAAAAACCAAAAACCAAACCCAAAGCTCTCTGTGAAACCAGAGGAAAGGTGAGAGAGGCAAGAATGAAAACACAAGAAATTCACCTTTTCCAGCGCTTCCCTGCTTCCAGCCAGGAAAATCCCTGGAGAAAAGGAGCCCTGAGGGGCACCTGCCCCCCCTGCTCACCCCAACCCTGCACCCCCAGGGAGGGACCCAAAATCCCCCAAATCCCCACGGATCAGGGGGTCAGAGAGGTTTCCCTGAGGGAAGGGCCAGCCCGGGGGACACTCCTGCTGTCCCCAGGGATGTGGGGACACTCCTGCTGTCCCCAGGGGTTGGGGACACTGGGCACTCACCATCCCTCGGTGGCGGCGGCGTCTGTGTGAAGTAACTGTTGGGTTTGTCTGCAAGGAAACAAAAACCACGGAGCTGTCACAGGTTCCTCGGGCACAGCCCTGCCCCAGCCCTTCTTCGGGATGGGGTTCATCCCTCTCCTCGGGCAGGTCTGGCTCCCAGGAGCTCCTGGAGGATCACCCCAACCCAGTTTGGGATAACCCCAGGTACCAGCAGAGCTGTCACAGGTTCCTCAGGCACAACCAAGCCCTGTTTTGGGATGGTGTTCATCCCTCCTTGAGCAGGTTTGGCTCCCAGGAGCTCCTGGAGGCAGGAAGGGGAACCAGGACCACCAAAACCCAGTTTGGGATAGCTCCAGGTACTGATGGAGCTGTCACAGGTTCCTCAGGCACAACCCTGCCCCAGCCCTTTTTTGGGATGGTGTTCATCCCTGTCCTGGGGCAGGTTTGGCTCCCAGGAGCTCCTGGAGGAGCCAGGATCGCCAAAACCCGGATTGGGACAGCCCCAGGTAGGGCTGGAGCATCTCTGGCACGGGATGTGGGAGCAGCCCCCCAGGCCCAGCTCCTGCCCGGCTGCTCGGAGACACCCGGGTGTGGGACACAGCCTGGGCACACCCGTGTGTGGGACACTCCCGTGTGTGGGACACGCCCCGGGCACACCCGTGTGTTTACCCCCAGACACTCCCGTGTGTTTCCAGGGTTTATTCCCCAGCCCAGCTGCCCCAGCAGAAGCTGCCCACCCCAAGGCCGGGCTGCAGGAGCTGCCTGCCCTCCCCACAGCCTCGGGGAGCTCAAGGGCAGCCCGGGAGTTTGGGGTGCTGCTCGGGAAGGGGAGCAGCTGTGCCGGTGGCAGGAATAACCTGGATCCACACCCGAGGGTGGGATCCACTCACTGCACCCGGGATCAACATCCAGACCTCGGGGGAAATCCTCACATCCCCCTGATCATCACCTGCACCAGCCCTTCCCAAATCCTCACATTCCCCCACAAACATCACCTCCACCACCCTCACATCCCCCAGATCATCTCCAGCCCTTCCCAAATCCTCACATCTCCCCAGACATCACCTGCACCATCCTCACATCCCCCAGATCACCTCTAGCCCTTCCCAAACCCTCCCGTTCCCGGATCCCTGCCCAGATTTGGGATGGGGCGCGCCGGGAGCAGCAGCAGCAGCAGCAGCAGCAGCAGGTGGGCGCTGCCCGGCCCACGCAGAGCCGCCCTCGCCGCGCTGCTGCCGCTTCCCTGCCAGGGAAATGCGGGGCAGGGATGTGCCAGCACCGGGATTGTCCCCGGGGCAGCCCCCGGAGCCCTGCCCCGCTCGGGGACACCTACAGTTATTGAGGAAGAGCAGCACGGCGAAGCCCAGCGTGGAGGTGGCCAGCAGGATGAGGCAGATGTTGCAGGGGATCATGAAGTAGCGCACCACCAGGGACACCTTGTGCTGGTACAGCCGGTCCCGCTCCAGGGCTGCCATGGGGTGCTGGCACGCCGTCATGCTGGGCTCTCGCACCCCGCGGGCCAGTGGCCACAGGGCTCACATGGACCCCTCTGCCCTGCCCCCGGGCGGTTTTGGCAGCCCAAGTTTTTCCATCTGGGCTGGCAGCAGGATGGGGGCACCTTCAGCACTCTGTGCCCGGCGGGGCCATGGCAGAGGCGCGGCCTCGGGGACAGCTCGGGGACAGCTCCGGCCGCTCCGGGGACACTCGGCCAGCCCCCGAGGTGTCCACCCACGGCTGCCCGCGGAAAGAAACCAAAATCCCCAGAAAGGAAACCAAAATCCTCGGAAAGGAAACCAAAATCCACAGAAAGCAATCCAAAATCCCAGCGCTGAGGGCTCCAAATCTGTGGCTGAGCCCACCCAAGACAAGGACACGCTGGGGTGGGAATGTCACAGAGGATAGGGACAGCACCAGCACAGGAGCACTCCCAGGCTCGGGAATATCACTGTCCTCTGGGATATCTGCTGAGATCCTCTGGGAAAACTGCTGAGATCCTCCAGGATAACTGCTGAGATCCTCTGGGATATCCTCTCAGATCCTCTGGGATAACTGCTCAGATCCTCCGGGATATCCTCTCGGATCCACGCCGGCCTCGCTCCGGGCACACGCAGCTCCCGCCGCTGTCCAGCGGCTCCACCAGGACACGTCCGGCAGCCTCTGACCCTCCGCAGGTCCTCGCAGCCGGGAGCAGCCAAAAATTCCGGGAGCAGCGCAAGGATTCCAGGAGAAACCCAAAATTCCAGGAGCAGCCAAGATTCGGGAGCAGCCCAAGGATTCTCAGAGAAGCCCAAAATTCCGAGATCAGTCCAAGGATGGCAGGATCAGCCCCAGGATGCCAGGATCAGTCCAAGGATTCCAGGATCAGCCCCGGGATGCCAGGATGCAGCTCAGCCCGAGGCAGACGCTCCCTCTGGCCCCCCGAGGCTGCTCAGCTCCGCTCCAGCGCCATCCCCGCTCCCTTTCCGCCTCTCCGCCGGCGAGCCCGGCTCTGCAGCGCCTTGCCGAGCCCCGGGCCGGCGGGAAGGGGCTCGGCTCGGCCCCGGCGGGGGCCAGCTGCCCGTGCCCGCCTCACGCCGCTCGGACATGCCGGACCCTGCCGGACGGAGCGCGGCTCCGGCTCCGCGCCGAGCCCGGCATGGAGCGGCAGGGAGGGATGGAAGGAGGGATGGAAAGAGGGAAGGAAGCTGGGAGGGATGCAGGGAGGCTGGGATGGATGGAGAGAGGCTGGGAGGGATGCAGGGATCAAGGCAGGGATGGAGGGATCGAGGCAGGGATGGAGGAAGGCTGGGAGGGATGGAGGGAGGGATGGAGGGAGGGAGGCTGGGAGGGATCGGGGCAGGGACGGAGGGAGGTGGATCCCTGATCCCGGCGCTCTCCGAGAAGCGGCCGCGCAGCACCGGACAAGGGAGCGGCGGCGCGGATCGAGCCCGGCGCACGCCCCGGAGCCTCCCCCCGTCCCTCCGCCCGCCCCTCGGCCCGACCCCGGCGAGGAGGGGGCGCGGCGAGCCCCTCGGAGCGCTGGCGGCCAACAAAGGGGAGCGGGGGCGCAGGGGCGCGGCGCAGACAAAGAGCCGGGAGGGCGGGGGTCGCGCAGGAGCCGCTCCCCCACCCCGAACAGGGCGCGGGGACCCCCCCAGGACCCCCGGGATGAGCAGGGAGGGCTGGGGGAGCTGGAGGGGGCTCAGCCCCTCCGCCCTCTATGCCGCACCTCTCCCCGCATCGCCCACCCAGAGACGCCCGGAGCCACGGGAACGGCAGGGAAAAACCCGGTTGTTATTTTTTGTAGGATGTTATCGGCACGGATTTGGCACAGCTTCCCCAAAACCAGCCAGGGAAAAGGAGCAGGGATGGAACCGCTCCATCGCTGCGGGCTCCCGGCTTTTCCTGCAGGGGAAAGGTGTCACCAGCGGAGCCAGGGGGAGGCGAGGGTCCGACAATGGGCTGGGAGCGCTGCCACAGCCCCGGGCAGCGATCGCTGAGACAAACCCGGGAGCTCACCCTGCTCTCCCTTAGCCGAGGCTCTGCCAGGATGGAATTCCCGGCAGAACACACAGCGCAGTCATTTCTGCCGCTGGAATGGGCACCGGGACCCGCTGGCTCCTTCCTCAGCCACCACAGCCCTGCTCTTCCTCAGCAGCAAGGGAGGAACTGGGCAGCTCGGGAGGCTGCAAGGAAACCCCTCAGGAGGAAGGTGAGGGGCTGACCGAGAACCTGGGCTGAGCCCACAGCTCTGCCACGCCAGGGGCTGGGTTATCACCCCAAAAAACTGGGTTATCACCCAAAAAACCAGGAGGGATCCTCCAACCCCACCCAGGACAGACGGACACGGGGGGTGTGGGGAGGGCAGAGCAGCTGGGGAGGGAAGCTCAGCTTCCCCTGCAGCCCCCAGGAGCTCCCCCCGTCCCTCTGGGGTGTCTGGGGGGTCGTGGCTCCATCCAGGCAGCTGTGGGGGCTGCTGAGAATTCCTGCTCCCCACGGGATTCCTGCCTCCCACGGGATTCCTGCCTCCCACTCCTCCAAAAGGCGACGGCCTGGGAGAAAAACCTTGGCCAGGGGCAGGTTCCCCTCCCTCCCAGCCCTCCCAAAAATCCCTCCCTGACCTGGCAGCGCACCTGCAGCCTGAGGGACAGGAAGATGAAAGGATCCCCCCACGCCCCCTCCCACGGGGACACGTGGGGACGCTGGGTGGTCCAGGACGGGCACAAGCTGCCCCCCAGCCACCCCACAAAGCCCCCCTGCTCCTCTCCGAGGGCTGGGAGCGCCCTGAGGTGCGAGTCCAAGAGGAAAAACAGAGAAAGAGAGGGGGGAAACCCAAGTCACATCCAGGAGATTGCTGGTCTGGAAACCTGCCTTGCCCCCTGCACCCTTCAGTGCCTTCTGCATCCTTCAGTGCCTTCTCCTGCATCCTTCACCTCCAGCACCTCCCAGCTAAACCACATGGTAAAAATCCTAAAATTCCATCGACTTCCAGCTACACCGCATGGTAAAAATCCTAAAAATCCATCATTTCCCAGCCAAGCCCCATCCCCTGCCATGGGAGCAGCAGGATGCGGCTCCACCCTTGGGAAGTGACAGCCTTGGCTTCGATTCCTTCCCAGCCCCAAAAACCCGAGCTGCTGCTTGGGGATGATTGACAGCTGTCAGTCACCCCTTCCCCCCCAGCTGCTGCTTGGGGATGATTGACAGCTGTCAGTCACCCCTCCCTCCCCTGCCAGGCTGATTCCCGCTAATCCTGTTTGGCAGGGAGATAATTGGGATTTGTTGTTTGGGAGCTAACTGGGGGAGGAGGGAGGAGGAGGAGGAAGAAAAGGAGGAGGAAAAAAGGAGGAGGAAGGAGGAAGGAGGAGGAGGGAGGAGGAGCCTGCAGGACAGTGACGGTGACAAGCCCCGAGGGTGTCCCCTGTCCCCTCGCAGGAGAGGCGCAGCCGAGGTGGCCGCGCTGCTCCGCGGGCTCGCACCGCCACCTGCCGCCCTTCCCCGGCCTCTCCTGCTTCTCCCGAGCTTCTCCTGCCCTTCCCCGGCCTCTCCTGCTTCTCCCGAGCCCCTCCTGCCCTTCCCCGGTCCCTCCTGCCCTTCCCCGGTCCCTCCTGCCCTCTCCTGGCCATTCCCTGCCGGGCATTCCCTGCCGGGCATTCCCTGCCGGAGCGGGAGGCTCGGGGAGCAGCAGCCAGCAGAGGATGCTGTGGGCTTGGAAAAACTTCCCTGTGCTCCTCCCGCAGCCCCAGCCTGCTATGTCCCGGCCAGCTCGGTGTCCCCAGCTCCGTGTCCCCAGCTCCGTGTCCCCAGCTCCGTGTCCCCATCCAGGACCAGCAGGGCCCAGCCCGGGGATGAGCACAGCCAGGAAATTCGGATTTATCCGCTCCCTCCACAGCTGGGGCTGCTTCAATGCCCTCAGCTCCTTTGGCAGCGAGCAGCAGCTGAGCTGGCACAGCTCTGTGCCACCTCAAGTCACCTCAAAAAGCTGCTTTGGGGTTGGCAGTGAACCTCAAAGTCCTGGGGTGAGCAGCAAAGGGGGAGAGGAGCAGTCCCAGCCCCAAATCTGGGGCACTCCTGGTTCAACTCCTCCTCCTCAGCTCCTTTGGCAACCAAGCCCCGTCCAGCCTGGCCCTGGCCACCTCCAGGGATGGGGCAGCTTCTCTGGGCACCCTGTGCCAGCGTTTTGCCACCCTCATTGTAAAAATTCCTTTATTCTATCAAATCTAAACCCTCCTCCAGCTTAACCCCATCCCTGCCTCTCCTCGCTTTCCGCTGGAATTTCCCCAGGAGCTGCTCCCACCTGGAGCTTCCCAGCCCAGCCAGGAGCAGGCAGGAATTCCCTGGATCTGAGCAATGCCCCAGCCCCCAGAGCATCCCAGTGCTCCCAGTTTGCCCCAGTGCCAGCTCGGGGAGCCCTGCCCGCCCAGGCTGCTGGTGAAGGTGAGAGGCTGAGGATGGAGAGGAAGATGAGCCAAGCACTGTGAGGAGCCCTCAGATCACAGCTCCGAGGGGTGAGGGGACAGCCCCGAGGGATGAGGGGACAGCCCTGAGGGGGATGAGGGGACAGGACAGCCCTGAGGGGGATGAGGGGACAGGACAGAGGGGGATGAGGGGACAGGACAGAGGGGGATGAGGGGACAGCCCCAGGGGGATGAGGGGACAGCCAGGACTCCCACACCGCGATCTGCCAGCAGTGGTGGCCCCGCAGTGGCAGCAGCTCGGGAGGCTCCCACAGCCCCAGCGCATCCCCAGGGATGAGGATGACAGTGATTAAGCCAGCCAGGCTGATGGTGGATGGAGAAAATGGGAATTTTGGGGTTTTTTTGGTGGGACAGCCCCACCACTTACCGGCGAGAAGCTTCCTATGTTCTTTAGAAAGCAGGGGAGGAGAAAAAGGAGAGAAGAAATCAAGTTAGAAGCAGGAAAACAGGAGCAGCCCCCAAGCTTTCCTCCTCCCCAGGCCCCCTCTGCCACCTGGGGCACTTCCAGCCCCACATCCAGGCCAGGCTCCCAGATAAAGGAATTCTTTATCCCTGCTCCCAGCCAGCCAAACCTCACGGGTCCCAGGGAACAGAGCTGGGTGCTTTTCCCACCTGCAGCAGCTCCTGGAAGGGAATCCAAGGCCAAGGATTGCTCACAGATTCTCCTCAGCTCCTCTGGCACCCGAGGGCAGAGCTGGCACAGCTTTGCCCACCTCAAGTCACCCCAAAAAGCTGCTCTGGGGTCGGCAGTGAACCTAAAACTCCTGGGTGAGCACAGAACTCGAGAGAGGGAAGCATCCCGCTGGTCCAGACCCCGCTGGGAAGGAGCAGGGACAGAGGGACGGCAGGACTGGCACTGCCACCTTCGCTTCCGAGCCGGGCACGGGCTGAGCTGATCCCAAAAACCCCAGTGAGCCCTCAGGGAGCCCTTTCAGGGGCTCATTCCCATCCCCACCTCCCAGCACACGGACTGAGCCACGCCTGAGTGGCATGAGGAGCTCCCGGACCCACAGGCAGCCGGGTCCTGCTGACCCCGATGGTGCCACAGGCAGCAACAGCAAATCCTGCCCTGAAAAACCAGGGGAAAGCACCCGCAGGACACCAAAACTGAGCCAAGGCCGGCACAGAGCCCGGCGGGAGCATCCCAGGAGCTGATCCCCAGGATCTGATCCCCAGCATCTGATCCACGAGGAGCTGGCACTCGGGAGATCCTGGGGAATATCCCTGGCACAGCCAACAGCTCAGAACTCCCATGAATTCCCTTAAATCCCATGGATTTCCTGCGCCAAGGGATGGACACAGCTCTGGATGGACACCCCAGCCCTTCCCACACAATTCCCATTTATCCCACAGCTCTGGATGGACACTCCAGCCCTTCCCACACAATTCCCATTTATCCCACGGCTCTGGATGGACACCCCAGCCCTTCCCACACAATTCCCCTCAAGTCCTGCAGAAATTCCCCCAGCTTTGATTTTCCCCTTCACGGAGCTGTGGGGCAGCCGTGAGCACCAAGGAGAGGGAGCAGAAGTTTGTTTTAGCACAGATTAAACAAAACAAAACCCAAAAGAAGCGCGGGAGGCTCCGATCCAAGGTCAGTGGAAAGTTTCCCCGGGCAGGAGGAGCAGGGAATATTCCTGGGAAGGGTGGGAGGATGGAGCTGGGCTGGAACAAAGCTGCCTGTCCGGGTCTGAAGCTGCAATTGTGTTTCCTGGGGGTGGGAGAGACTCCTCTGTCCCT